TTGTCCGTGCCACAAGCATGGATCATCCAAAGTGCTGTAAAGTTATTTGAAACAACAAAAACACATACATACGTACGTACATACATACATAAAAGGTACACACATATGATAAAGAATACATTATGAATGATATGCTACTATCAACAGAAGGAACAAACCAATCTTGTTTATAATTTGATGGATTCCTTTCTGGGCTACGTTACAGACCAAATTCAATTAAAGTTTCCTAACAAGAAATACATGAAGTATATTTACTCGTAAGTATTGCATTAGTTTGAAAAACAAAAATTGAAAAGAAAAAAATCAATTGTTCTTAGTTCTAGAATGTTTCCCAAAATTTGTTTAAACTAAATATTAAATATTACTAGGCTTAAAATGACAATCTGCGAATGCACTAAACTAGTTAATGCCATGCCCCCTTTGTGTGCTCTCTCTTTCGCCTGATCGCGGGTTAGTTTACAATTCTGGTTATGCCTAAAGCAAGGTGTGTGTTTGTGTTTTGTTAGCAGCTAGTATTTTATTTTACAATTACCATTACATGTGCCCCCGATCCCATTGGCTCTGCTCCCTGTGCTGTGCGGCGCTTGATTGGGGGGGAGAGAGAGAGGAGCCCCTATCTAGTCCGGCCTATAGATGGGAGTTTTGGGTATAAATTCAATTAAAATAACATACTCCATCATGGAATTGGAATCACATTGTTGCTTATGCAGTCGCCAGTGCAGGCCCAGCTTATGATATAGATGATTATTCTCCCATTCGAACAGTTTGTCCAGAGTGAGCTGTGTCTGTGGGCAACAGGTTAGAGCATCTTCTATGTATTATGTATATTTACGCTATGCTTACGCGTTTGCTGAGACAGATGACGGGCCAGAGGGAGCAGCCGAGCGTGCAACAGCAGCAGACGCAGCCACAGAAGAGCCACTTGACATTGACGGGCAGGGATTTCTTCAGAACTCCATTGATGCGACCTACAGTCGCCTTGAACTCCTCGGGGGCCACGCGCGACAGCAGGCCGCATGGAAACTCCGAATTGAAGCGATTGCTCAGACCAAATCTGTGAATATAGAACGAGAATTTAAGTATGGCTTATCGAATCTCCTCCTCGGCCTAGTGCGTCACATTTATCACGAATATTGCACCTCTACTAAGCAGCTAACGTTTCTCTTATGCAACCGGCAGGCAATTGCCAGCTGGGGAAACAACAATGCACCCAGTAACAAGAGCGACCACCACCCCACCCCAAAAATGAGGTCAAACCGTATCAATGGAGCCGTGCTACAAAACAGGGCCTATCATGAAATTAGGTGACACAGACCTTGAACTACATTTGCAATTGCATACAGAGAAAACAGAGTCCGTCTATTAATCTAGCATTTAGAGTATTCTTTGTCGACCACTTACACAGTCATATTGCCTGCGCCCCGAATAATAATGGGCTCGGGCACTGGCGCCACCGATTGATCCTGAAAGTGCTCCAACTCCTCCAGCTGCTCATCCTCGTAGATGGCATCGAAATCGGAGAAAGACATAGTTTGGTTTGATGATTGCTCGCTGATAGGCCTGATAGGCGGCTAAGAGGAAGGCGAAGGCGTCACAGCAGACGGCAGGCGGCAGGTCAAAACATGTTTGGATATGTTCGTGCCTGCGTTTATTTCAAATAAAATCGTGTGCACCTTCAGATGTCGTGGGAGGAGGAACCAGTGCCTTTGTTATTGGCGGCTGCTTCCGCCATACGCTTCGTCGTTGATCGCCCGCTTTTCTGATATGAGATGACGTCTTCTATGAGGGAGTGGGCATGCAGGAGGGGGAGAGCAAAGTTTAAAATAAAATGCATATTAAAATTGGAAAACAATGAAAACAAAACAGTATGGCGTTGTTCAATACTGGCCGCCGTCTGCTTTGTTGTTGCTGCCACTGCTGCTGCTGCGTTGGAGGGAGGGGGATAGTCTTTTGACTCCAATACAAAGACAATTTCAATACTATAAGTTTTTTTTTTTTACTTGCAACATTATAAGACCATGTCTACACGCAATATGTAGGCCAACAGCAGCTACAAAAAACGACACACGGCTACATACCTCCTCCTATTACACGACGACTAAACTCCTATTACACCTTTCTTTCCCCTGCAACGTATTTCGCAATCACTTTTTTTCAAACACCCGTAGCACTGCGCAGGGGCTCTTTACTATTGTTTTATCTTGCCATTTGACAGGTATTTTTGATTACTCGAGCACAGGTTACAACTTTTACACGCTTTCTACGTTTTGTAATACGAAAATACCTCCTCCTCCGCGCTCGTGCTGCTGAACATTTGTTGTTTGAGGCACGAACAGCTGTTGGCCGCGCAGGGTTGATATTGATATATTGATTTATTTATTAACTATATAAAATAAATACGTTGTATGTATAATATACATACCAAGCTAATATTAAGCTTAAACACTCTAAACAAAGACAATGGTGTTGTGCACAAATTCGAAAAGTTAGCAACGCAACTAAAAAAACATTGCAGCATTAGACTAGGCTAAAATATAAAATATAGGTATAGACGAGTATGTTTTCGCAATAGCATGAACGACAAGGCATATTTGAGAGGTACAGGCTTCCTTCCGGTAGTCGGCAGTTTGTTTCTACTTCTTTTTCGCCGCACTGGGGCTGGTCGATTGGAACACCGAGGAGGCGGACATGAGATTCTCGATGTACTGTCCCAGGACCTGGTTCTCGGAGCGCAATTTGAGATTCTCCTCCTTCACAGAGTCCACACGCTGGGACAGATCATCAAGTGTGTTCTGCAGCTCCAACACCTGCGTGATTAGGCGAGCCTTCTCCTCGCGATCGTCCTGCGCCATTTCGAGCGTGTCCAGCGAATGCTCGGTAGAGTCTGGCGTTGAGCTTCTGTTGGTGAACGATGAGCGCAACGAGTCCATCGACTGGCCACTGGGCATGTGGGGGGCTGTCGAGGGCTCATCCTCCTGGATGACAACTGATCAAAAAAAAATGTACGGAATAATGTTTGAAATGAAGTCATCATCACGAGACTCGCCCATTCCCACACTCTCACCCTGCGGATCTTCGTCTATGGCCAGTATGCTGTCATCGTTGTTAAGCAGTGACATGGTTAGGTTCTGGGTGACGCCGTTCCCTTCAATTTTTACAGCTATTTTTATTCAATTTTCGGTTGAAATTTTGCAAACGTTAGCTCAATTTTTTTGTCACGAAAAACGAAAACTACCACTTTGTTTTCTGTGCGGTACTTTTCCACACTATGACCTGGTGTGGCGTGTTTTCCAGCACTTTACTGAAGTTCAACCGGAAAAAGAAGCACGCTATCTATTTTTTTGTTTTTTAACAAGCGTAATGTTTATATACTGTAAGTTATTCGATGAATACTCTGAAGAGTTTAAGAAAGGCATTTAATTGAATGTCTGCATATATTCGTGAAAATAAGCACAATATCTGCTGATACGTTTCAGTAAAGTGTTTTCAGCCGCGGCGTTCTTTTGAGTTTCAAATAAACAAATGTACACTATTAATATCTCATCTGCGTAGTTACTCAGCCAATACAAAGCAAATGGCCTATTTTCCATTAATGCGCGAACCTAATCGATTCGTACAAAACATATTGAAATTATTTCAAATTAACTGACACCAGCCATAATCCAAACAGACAGAGTTGCCACCTTACATATTCCGATCATAGAAGTTAAAATACACACGCATCCATCGCATCGCATGCTTTTGCCCCGCAGGTTGCTTGCTGTATAGTTTTCAATATCGCCGTGGAACTTCAACTCTGTGTAACGTGATTTTGTTCAGTTTGTCGAGCCAAGAGTTTTCAGTGAATAAAAGCTTGGGGCAATAGCACCAACCTCACTGCCAACAATAACATCATAACAGTTAGACGCGTCGCCTAAAGTACCATACCCAAGATTTCGTGCGCGAGGTCGTATCATTAACACCCTCGCAATCCAATGATTGAGTCAGGTAAGGCTTACCCCGTGCCAGCATAAGCACAATTGTAATGATGTTTGGCACGTTCTCTGTCCTTGCCAGCATAATCTCATCCTGGTTCTGGTCCTTCGATGCTGCAATTTTCCATTCGCTCTCGGGCTCCTCTGTGCATTTGAACAGTAAGTAAACAGTTATGTTCCCAAACGTGGCCGGTTAAGAGTTTATAAAACATAAAGCAAAAGAGCATAGTTTATGCATTTTTGCCAAATTCAATCGCAAATCGGCCAAAACCAAACCCAGATAAGAAGGTATTAAGGCATTGTCATTGCACTGTCTAGCGGCTACATACGTAACATAAAGAAAGCAATAAAAAGATTCCGCCGCAAGTTTATTCGAAAGCATATTGGCCATAAGCGGAGCATAACGTGAAAGAGTCTAAAAATAAAGTTTTATTTCGAAGATAACAAAACCTTCGAAATCCTAAAATTGGTATCAAAATTCAATATATGCTCAGTGTGACCGCATACACGTCATAAAATATACTAGACGGTAAAAAAATTACCTTGAATAGCCGTTTTGCCACACTGAAATATTTATATTAATTTCGCAAAATTAAAGTTTTGATTTGATTTAAATTTACATATAGATAATAATAAGGTAATTTACTATCCCTAATCTTAAATGAAGAAATAAAAACTATTTTTTTAGTGAACTTCAGGAACTAAATGCACGCCGACATGGTGGATCCTGCACCTTGCCAAATATATACACTCTAACATTTTCCAACCCCTCGCTTACTTGTTGTTATATATCACAAGTATAAATGAATCTTAATCATTTCAGATAACTCTGCTCGGTCAACATAACCGTAAAGCGTTTTAAACATTGCAAACGGCAACGGAACTGTCAGCCAATTAAATAATTGAAAATACCACCAGAAAATACCGAAAATAAGTGCAAATAAACGCGCGAAAATAATAACTGCAATTGCAAATGTTTAAATGTATAAATAAACAAAGAACAAAGGTAGCAGGGAGTGAAAACAGATAAAAATAGCAAGCAATAGCGACATTGCAAAACATAAGAATCGTTTTTCAGTCGAGAAAAGCAAAAACCGAAATTGAAAAATACCAAACGCTGGTCCAGAGTGTAAAATGCCCAAAAACTTTGTTGTAGGAGGAGGGCACAACGTTCAATAGCGAAGAATCGTTTCAACGAGACGCGAGTTGTAATTAGCGAAGTAGAATATTAATCAGCTCCAAGTGCAATACAACCGGAACTTGGAAGAGTGACAAGTGGCCAAGATGTTTCCTGCCAACGGGGACTCCTCGAATCAGAACCAGCTGAAACGGAAAATGTCCATTCCCAACATTACCATCATACCGCGCAAGGGATCCGAGGAGATGCGTTTCCTGCCCATCGCCGCCATGCCCACAAAGTCCTCCAGCATAACGATGGGCCACGTTCAGTCGATCAAAAACAACAACAACAACAATAATAAGAATATCCACTCGGCATTGAAATCCAAACTGACGATGACGCCCATGAACATGAACATTGTTCAATCGTCTGGAGTGAAAACCACCAGCATCAAGCCAGGAGGAGTGTCTGCTGGTGGTCCCTTGATACAGCTGGTGCCCATGTCGGCTGTGTCTGCCACAGGTGGCGCCACAAATCATCATCCTAGTTCGTCTCTCATGGCCATTCTGACGCCATCCGTCAAGACCGCGATGAAAGGTGCTGCTCCCCCGCATGCCCATCCCCATCCGCATCCCCAGGCCCAGGCAGTGGTGATACGTCCCACTCCAGCTTCGATGACATCTGTGAGCAAAGTGCCGAATCCGAGCAAAGCCTCTTTCACCATCAACAGCAGCTCTGGCTCGACCACGGTTACAGCCTCAGCCATTTCCAGTGGCTACAGAACAGCCAACACAGAATACCCCAACACGACGACCGCCAAGACGGCGGGCCCACCTGGTAAGTGGTTTCGTTTCTTTCTCCAAAAGTTATATAATTCAGGAGATCCGTCTATACGAGATTTGGGAGATATTCTGCTTTTGTTTTGAGTCTCTGTTCGGTTCGGTTTTGGTTCGGTTTAGTTTCGGTTTTGGTTTCAGTTTCGATTTTGGTTTCCAGCCAGCAGCAGCAGCAACAGCAACAGCCCGCAGTCGCCGCTCTCGCGCGTCCATTGACGGAGCGACGACGACGACAACAACGACCAAAAGACGTGTGTGCGTAGATTTTATTGTGTTTTTACATGTTTTGTATGATTATAAGTTTCGTTAGAGTGGTGTGTTCTGCGGCTGTGCTGGTTATAATTTTGTTGCACATTTCATAATCGGTTTGGAAACGAATGAAAATTTAATTGAATTTCGCGTGCGTGTGTGTACAGTTTTTTGGAGGAATATACTCTACTCTATACGCTCTACACTACGCTCTGCTAGCAAATAGCAAAAATATTTTTACCCCTCGAGGGAATCGTAAGCGGATCGATTGTTGGGCAAATCAAAGATTTGCTGCTCAAGAGCGCCAGATAAAATAAAAGCAAGCATAAATTCTTGTATTCTATTTGAATGCATATTTTCTTTTTATCAATATCACAATTGTGGAGTGGTGAAAAGCGGGACAGTGGAAGGGGCAGGGGCAGCGTTGGGGTAGCAACAACAAAAGCCAGAGAGTGACGATGGTGATGATGACGATCAGGTTTTTAGCAGCTGCAATAAGCAGGCAAGGCAGTCAGGGCAGGGCAGGCAGCGGATGAGGAACGAGGGGAAAACACACACAACATTCGATTCGCGATTCGTGGTTCGCGGTTCGCGAGGATCTGGCCAGGCACAACATTTGTGTAATAAAAATTGTAATTTGGCTTATATTTGCAGCACCTGTACCTGCTTCTGTATCGGTATCGGCATCTGGATCTGCATCGGCCTCTGCAACTGCAGCTGTAGCTCTACCTGTACCTGCCCCTGTGACAGCTCCGTCGCAGCAGCAAATCTCACTGATCGGCGGCGGTGGGCAGTCATCGAAACAACGTTCCCCGTTCATGCTCAGCAAGGTGGCGGTCGATAAGCTGCGTTTTAAATTCAATCAGGCCGGGGCCAATCCCAATGCCATCATTGTCAGCAAGGCGATTCAGCAGGGCAGTAGTGCCCAAGCGATATGCAAAAATAATCTGAATCCGAATCCCACTCCCAGTCCCATTCCTAGTCCTAGTCCTAGTCCCGTGAGCGACATGCCCAGGGTCACACCGCAGGCAGCAACAGTTGAGAAGCAGATCAGAAGCAACGGAAACTGCAATAGCAGCAACAATTCGTTCATATACCCCAAAACGGCACTGCCACTACCCCCTGCCAAGGACACACCCACTCCCGGGCACTCTATTCCAACAACAGCCACTGGGAGCAACAACAACAAAGAGAGAGACATCAAGAAAAAGGCCCTGCCTATAGTGATCGGGTCCACACCGAAGGACATGCCCAAGGCTCCTCCACCCAGCCGCAAGATGAGCCCAAGTCCAAATCCCAGAGAGATTACCATCCAGGCCGTCGGAAATGGACCCCTTAATACAGAGTCCAAGCCACCAACCCCCCAGCCACCAGCTCCGGCCAAAAATCCGCCCAAGGTGAAGCGCTCCAAGTCGTTCGTGTCCCTCAAAGAGGTGGCCATGATGCCAACCGTAGATCGCCGCCGCGCCTCGGTGGTCGTCGGGCTTACAAAGGAACACCAAGCACCCGCGAAGCAGCCCCAAGCACGAGCAACAGAGCCCCAAGTAGCCGCAAAGGAGCCTCAAGCACCCGCAAAGGAGCCTCAAGCACCCGCAAAGGAACCCCAAGTACCCGCAAAGGAGCCTCAAGCACCCGCAAAGGAGCACCAAGTACCCGCAAAGGAGCCCCAAGTACACGCGAAGGAGCCCCAAGCACCCTCAAAGCAGCCGCAACTACACGCTAAGGAGCCTCAAGCACCCGCAAAGGAGGCCCAAGTAGCCGCAAAGAAGCTGCAAGCACCCGCAAAGGAGGCCCAAGTAGCCGCAAAAGAGCCCGTCGTTCCCGCAAAAGATACCGTTGAGCCCGACAAGGAGGACGACGCCGTGGTGATACTGGCCGATCCGCCCATCGAGACAATCACTATCGACACAGACGATAGCGACGATGACGGGGAGAAGGAGCAGGCAATAAAGGCACCTCTGATACTCTCCACGGATGCACTGACAGTCACAGCCATTCCGGCATCCCCCAGACGCACATCCACATCGACCAGCAGCAGCACCAGCAGCACGTGCAGCAGCAACCATTCAGCGTCAAAAAGGAAGAGCTCCACCACTGGTGTCGCTTTGGGCATCCTGGAGAACTCGCGCAAGAAATCCCGAAAGAACTCTTCGACCAGTGCCAGCGGCATAACGTTATCTTCCTCGAGAAAGAGCTCCCACGGCAGCATCAGCATCTCGAGCAGCAGCTCTTCGGCCAACAGCGATGTAGAGGAGGTTTCGGTGCCCGCCAAGAAGCGGAAGGAAGATTCGGAGACGCGCACCAACATGAACACGCACGCGCACACGATAAGCATTGTCAAGGCAGAGTCTGTGTCCAACGAGGACTTTGAACGGTCGCTGCGGTGCGAGGAGACCCTTGCCAAATCGCCAGACGGCTCTGTCCCCTCTTCCTCCTCCGGCAGCAATGGATCCCAGGGGCCTCCTCCTCTGCCTCGCCCCACGCAGAATGGCGAGCACCCGCCCACGCACAAGACTCCTCTCGAGCTGGTTCTAAATCCTCCGTATGGGTCCAGGTCCGCCTTGATGAAGAAGGCAATGCTCAACCACATGCATATGCTGCGTTGGCGCGGCCAACAGCCGGGCAGCCTGCACAACTCTTCGCTGCGCTTCGACATCAACCGCTACAGCCTGCTGCAGCTGAACGAGAGATGCGAGCCGCGCAAGGGTCCCGCCAGCTACTTTGAGCGCGCCATCTTCGACCGTCCCGACCGGAGGCCCACCGACAGCCTCCATCCGTTGCTTTATCTGTGCCAGCGATGCAATTGCCATGGCCCTGCCGCTGATTTTCTGGCGCCACGTGAGTAATGGGGTTCCATCGGGCGTCCAGATTCCAGGATTCATTTAATAATCTAATTGTTTCTCTTTGCCCACAGATTACTGCTCCGTGGGATGTGTGCGACGATCTCAAAAGCGACGCTTTCCCGGCACAAACATAGCCCATAGCAAGGCCAAAAAAGCGCCAACGCAGCAGCAGCGGGCCATTCGGCTGGAGCATCAGATGGAGCGGGCGCGGGAGAAGGTGGCCAAGAGGCCCTTCCGCTGGACCGAGTACATGGAGACGCACGGCCCCGAATTGACGGCGCCCATCCACCTGTTCCTCAATCCGTTTCCCCGCAACGCGAACTGCTTCGAACGTGGCATGAAGCTGGAGGCCATCGATCCGGAGAACTGTTCGCTGTTCTGCGTGTGCACCGTCGCGGAGGTACGAGGCTATCGCCTGAAGCTCAGCTTCGACGGCTACTCCAGCATGTACGACTTCTGGGTGAACGCCGACTCGCTGGACATCTTTCCGCCCGGCTGGTGCGAGAGCACAAACCGAATACTGCAGGCCCCGAGGGGCTACTGCTCGCAGCGTTGGAACTGGAGCCGCTATCTGGTGAAGACCAACGCAAAGGCGGCTCCCCGAGTGCTGTTCACGCACTTGAACCATACGCCGTATAAGCGCGAGAATCGATTTCGACGTGGTATGCATCTGGAGGCGGAGGACCTCAACGACACGGGCAAGATCTGTGTGGCCACGGTAGCGGACATACTAGACGAGCGCATACGAGTCCATTTCAATGGCTGGGACGATTGCTACGACTTCTGGGTGCACATCAGCTCCCCGTACATTCATCCCTGCGGCTGGCATGCCGGCCGCCAGCAGCTGATTGTGCCCCCGAGCTACCACAACACGGTCTTCAGCTGGGAGGACTTCATGCGCCGCAAAGGCGGTATAGCGGCTCCCGAGGACCTATTCTCGCCGCGTCAGCCGATGGACTTTCAGGCGCGCATGAAGCTCGAAGTTGTGGATCAGCGCAATCCCTGCCTGATCCGTCCGGCCACAGTGGTTGTCCGGAAGGGGTTCCGTGTGCAGCTGCATCTGGACTGCTGGCCCAGCGAGTACTACTTCTGGCTGGAGGACGACAGCACCGACTTGCACCCCATTGGCTGGTGCGAGGCCACTCAGCACGAGCTGGAGGCCCCGCCCGGATTCCTCCAGGCCCCGCCCCAGATGCCTTGCGATGTGAATGGTTGCCGCGGCTTTGGCAATGCCAAACGCTTCAATCTCAACGTCCATGCGTTGCCTGAGTGCTGTCCCTATGCCCCGGAGAACTGGCGCCAGTGGCGCTCCAAAACGGTGAAGCCGGCGCGCGTGGCTCCACATGAGATCACACGTGCGCCGCTCCGCGAGCCAATGAAGTTCTCGGTTGCGACGCCCCTGCCAGCGTATAGAGATGGGTTCATGCGGGAGCAGCCAGTGCTGGTAATCGATGAGCAGGAGGAGGAGGAGGACGACGATCAGATAGTCATCGATGAAGTTCAGATGGTCATCAATGAAGAGCGCATCGAGGAGGTGCGGCCTCAGGTGGTCGTACAGTTGGAGCCCAAAATTGAACCCAAACAAGGGACCCAGCCGAAACGCAGGGACACTATACCCAGATCCAAGACCGAGATCAAAGGGGAGCACAAGGTGATCAAAGAGGAGCCACGGCCCAAGCAGAGGGAAAGGATACTCAAACGACAGGATGAAACGACAGCCAAAATAAAGGAAACGATGCCCAAACAGAAGGAAACGACAGCCAAACATAGGGAGACGATACCCAAAGCCAAGGAGGTAAAGTACACCCTTAAAGAAACGAAGCCCACTCCGAAGGAGACAAAGATCCTTTCCAAGGATCCAAAACCCACTCGCAAGGAGACAAAACCCCCTCCCAAAGACACAAAGCCCAATCCCAAGGAGAAGAAAGCGAAACCCACTCCCAAAGAGACGGAAGCGAAATCCACAACCAATGGAAGGGAGTCGAAAGGAAGTACAAACCATAAAGTGCAAGTGGAGGAGCCGGTGGATCCTCGTTGCATCACCATTGCCATGCCCATTGTCAAGGACTATGGGCCCCAGTTCGTGCGCAACTATCGTCTCTGGCAGAAGAACAGCGCCTTCGCGTTGAGCAAGATCCAGAGCAATCCGCTGTACTGGACCAACTGGGATGTGTACGAGTACGTGGAGCGTGCGCTCAACTCCCCCAGCATTGCGCAGACAATCTTCGACCAGGACATCGATGGCCGGGCGTTGCTCATGCTGGGGCGCGAAGATATGAGCGATCATCTGCTGCTGAAGAAGGGCCCCGCCGTGAAACTCTACTCGCACATTGTCAATCTACGCATTGCAGTGGTCTGCAAGTTCAATATGAACTGCACGGGCATGGACATTGGCAACTTCGAAGCTGTCGATGCAAAGAATGAACGGGTCGAACCCAAGCAGAAGCCGATCGAGAAACAGCCGCAGAAGGAGAAGCAGCCACAGCAGAAGAATCCTCAGCAGAATATAAGCAGCAGCAGCAGCAGCAGCAGTAGCAGCTTTGACCTGGAAGAACAGTCGTCGGACAATGATTTTGATGAGGATGACAATGACGATGAGGATGAGGATGACGATGACTGCGGCGAGGAAGAGGAAGAGGAAGTGGTAGAGGACATCGAGGTTGTAAGAGACAGTTTAAACAAACTGAAGGAAGAGCATCATCATGTCACTGCTGATGAGGAGGACGATGAGTTGGACAACGAGGATTTTCAGAGCATCAATCCCAGCAGCTTGACCCACGATGACAATGACGATGATTCGGATTTGGTGATGCTGCCGCCGCTAAAGGCGCGCCATTGCATGAGTACGGCATCCTAGGCGTCCCGCCGCTCCCATTCGCTTCGTTGATTAATTTATTCTAAGAAATTTTGTTGCATCGGCATATTGGCACACGTTTTCGCGTATTAATATTATAAAATAGTATTTAATTCTGTAAGCCCCAATCGTAAAGCGATAATTTTGATTTTAATTATATCCAAATCTCAATAAAAAAACCGCCGACCCGCGTCTAAGCTCTGTACTGGCAGTCGTTCACGCTTGGCTTCTTCTTTACATCCGCTGGACATCCACATCCACAGGTTTTCGACGGGACCTTCTTCTCCACGACTCGAGGGCCCTTCAAATTGTTCGACTGCTTTTGTATTGGGGAACAGGGTTTGCAGTCCTTCTCCTGCTTCACCACGCATCCACAAACGTTCTCCTGCTTCACCACGCATCCACAGACATTCTCCTGCTTCACCACGCATCCTGAGGGGTTCTTTTGCGTCTCAACGAATCCAGAGACTTTCTGCTTGGCTGCAAATACATCCAGCTTGAGGTCTTGATTCGTCACGACTCTAGAAATGTTCGAATGGCTCGACGGCTTCCACGAAATTTCCATACAAAGGCTCTCCTGCTCTTCTACGAATCCAGAGCATTTGCTCTTGAATGTGCTGGATATGGCCTCCTCCGGCTTGGGCAAATCCGTTACACACTCGTCGTCTTCATCGTCCCCATTCGCTCGAATGGTTAAGGAGCCATCCACCGCGAAATAAACTTCCTCAAAGAGCCGGGCCACCTCAACGAACTGCTGGAAACGCTCCATGTCGCAGTAGCTCAAGTTGTTGGCCACCTGGTATTTCTTGAGTGCGCATAGCAACTCCTTGTCGGGTACGATCTCCTCGGCCTTCATGATGATCATCAGAGCCTTGAGCTCGCGCACGTTCAGCCGCAGGAATACATTCTCCTTCAACATTTTGGTGGCAATGGGAAGAATTTTCTGGCAGAAGGAACGATTAATGAAATGGAAGAGGAGATATATTGTGAGACGATTTACCTTTGCTACCAGATCCATAATGACGGGGCTGTTGTGTTGATTGGCCAGATGAAATATCTGCAGGACAACCTCCATGGGCCAATCCTGTGCGGACAACTTTGTGAGGTAGCAGTCGATAAAGTCGTACATTTTGTGCTTTATGGCCAGGAGCATGAGTTCGCCGCACATCTCCAGGTTGATGGCATTGCACACCTCGTAGGTGTAGATGTACAGGATGAGGGCCTCGTAGGCCTGGGGCGAGGCATCGTCCAAATCGATTACTCGATGGTTCCGCTCAAAGTGAGGCGATCTGCACAGGCGCCCAAACTCCTCCGAGGCGGACACAAGCAGGAACTGGTGGCAGCAGAACACCCGATGGCACCGCTTATTCCTGTCTGAATACCAGACGCGCACCTCGCAGTCGGACAGCTGTCCTGACCGCAGCATATCCAGGCGACGCAATTTGCAGTTCATTTTTGCAAAGATTCAATTTTGAAATGGCCAAAAAAAGATGTTTCTAAAAACTTAGAGATGAAATTTCTGGCGCATTTTTTCGTGGAAATGATGCCCTCCGAACAGAGAACTAGAATGAAAGAAAATTTGAAAATGGAAAAGGCAGAATGGACAGTATCGGAGCAGGCCCCGAGATGAGCCTTGACCTCGACTGACATTCAGAGCACAATAAATTATGTCCTTTCGACATTCAGGAAGTTTGTTCAAATCTTTTGGCCTCATAAGTGAAAATTAATTCCGATGGAACAAAATCAGCGAAGCAGCCTTCAGAGCAATGACGAAAAGAACAATGTGGATAGCAGTGGACCCTCCAACAATCCGCCAATCGGAGGAAAAGTGGACTTCTACGCTGCGATGAATAATTCAAATCAGCCGCCGCCATCGATGGACGATGAAATGATTATGAACTCAAGCCGGATCCGGCGAATCGAGTACTTGCGCCGGGCCATCGACAGTGACTGCCAGATCCATGTGCAGAACATGTCTGTAACGCCAGATGGGCAGGCGGGCAGCGTGTGCTACAAGACGTTCGAGTGTCATCGCATATTTCTGGCCACCTCCTCGGAGAAGATGGAGACGGATATCTTCAAGAACCCCAACTGGAACGGAGTGCTGCAGATGAACGGTGTGTCGCCGGAGAGCGTGCAGATCTTCCTCGAGTACATCTACACGTTCGAGGTGGACTCGCCGCTTGTCGGTCTCAACATCATTGGGGACATATTCATTCTATCGAATGCCTACCAAATGCCCGAGCTGATGGCCGCCTTCTTTGAGAAAGTCAAGGAGCAGGATTGGCCGCTGGTGGATGTAATACCAGCTTTCGACCTGGCATTTCGGCAATGCGGTATGGCAGAGCTGGAGCAGCTGTGCCTGGATGTAAGTGGAGCATCACAAAATTCTCTATAGACCCCCTTCTATCTCACTCCTTTCTAGATGATCATACCCAACGGAATGCAGCTGGTTAACGAGCTGAGCCTCATGAAAGTCCAGCTTTACGCCCTCAACTACCTTGTTCAGTTATGGATGGCGACAGAGACAGTGCCACGGGAGCGACTGGTGCAGCTACTCCAGGACTACCAGGCGGCGAATGGTCTGAATTTCAACAGTGTAGTGCGATTTCCGCATTTCACAAAGATCATCAAACACTTTCCAGATATCTTGCTGGATGCTGAGGGGTCCATAATACAATAAAAAATATTAATAAATAGGTAAATAATAAGGAATTTTTTTAGTATTATTGGCGCTCAGTGTACCGTCTCATTTCAAAAATATACCGTAAATATACTGACAAATTCAAGTTATATTTTACATATTCCTCGTTTTTGATCTTCCGGCGAATACTCCCAGCTATATAGAACATTTAGCCATGCCCACATAATTTTATACGATAAGTATAAATACTTTTTTACTTGACTGACCTAATCTAAGATCTTGCTTTTATTGGATTTAGCGAAAATGGTCAAACAAAAAAAGGTTTTAGCGAAATAGGTCAACACAAAAAAGCGAAAGAGGATAGTCGTACATATTGCTCAATTTTTTCCTTGAATAATTCTGGCTAACTAAAACCCTTAGTTTTTCCCAGAGCCTTGTCGAAGCACTCGCCGGACTGGCAGCTGAACTGATCCACCCGGCATGTGGGACATCCCACTTCATCCGACTTGTCCAGGCAGTCCCTTTCGCCGTCACAGCGCCTGTAGGCGGGTACGCAGTCCTTATTCATGTCACCATTCCCCGTCACTGGGGCCGTGTACGTGAAATGATCTGGCCCACAGGCCGCGCACACGCCGTAGCTATCCTTGTCCTCCAGCAGCATCAGATGCTTGGGGCACGAGCAGACGTCGTGAGTGCTGCGTGTCACACCCTCCCCTCTGGCTATTCAGTTGTGGAAACAATTTGGACGACTGTGCCGCACTTCCGCTTTCGGTGTTCACACGGCCCGCGGAACGACGCTCTCCGTTGACAGTGATCCACTCCAGTCCGGTCTTGTCATCCAGCCAGTACACAATTCCCCCTAGGCGGCAATGTTGATTACCTGCGAGATGTGCATCGCAACAAGGGAGCAGGGGATTACACATGTGTCTAAAGGATCCCCATATTCGTAGCTTACTTGTTCTTTCCATCACATCGACTCGCTTGCCTGGGCATAGTAGATCATATCGGACTGTTGATCCAGGGCCAGCGCCGTGACTCCTTCCAGCTTGTAGGCCTCCAAACGCTCATTGCCATCGACTCGGGCCCGAATCATGGCCTTTTGGCTGCCGACATCTGTCCAGAAGAGCAAACGCTTCATAGAATGCACGGCAATGTTGCGAGGCTTTTCCGAGTCCCCGGTATCGTTGACGCTTACGGATTCACCCAGGAAGCTAAAAGAGGCAACGTTTTAAGAACATAGTTGTGCGGATGGTCACGTTAATGCTGTTGTAGTAGGAGCAGGTCCAGAAGAGCAGCATGCCCAATGATATCGATTGCAATGTCGAACGGCTGTCCGGAGTTGGCCAAGAGGCTCACCTTTGTGCCATTTGCTAGAGAACGCTTGATGCTGTGACTCCTGCCTTCGATCTGAAAAAAGAAAAAGAAGCATTAGGGATATTATGGACACCGCGCTCAGCTTTTGCTAATCCTCCTTACCCAGTAAATGTAATGCGAGATCGGATCATAGTCCACGGCGCGGATATTCTTGCCGGACACTGGCAGCGGCACATTCGGGCAGTCTGTCGTGTTCGGCAGCAGTCGGCCGAAGCTGTTCCTCTGGCTGAAGATGATGTAGTTCTTGCAGGAGACCCCGTTCTTGGTCATCTGGTAGTGGGTGGGGCAGACACAAGTCATGCCCCGTCCAGGCCAGGCACAGGTGGGAGCAGCCCCCTTGTTGACCTTGTACTCGGTCGAGATGCGGCCAATGTGCTCCTGGCGCGAGAACAGCAGGAAGGAGGCAGGCAACACGCAGGTGGTCGAGGGGACGGTACAGGCAGAGATGGAGCAGGCCCTATTCCCCACGGCACACGCGATCTTGTCGGTCTTTCCATCGCACCAGACGCCAGAATCCTGAAGACGGTGTCCAGATGCCGTTTCAGACGAACAGCTGTTCCACCCCCACCCCCAGTCCGCGGTCTGTTCTTTTTCTTCCTTTTTCAATTGATTTCCTATGAAATTCGTCTTCTGGGGGCTGAGGCAGGGAGTAGTGGGCCACAACTTCGCCAAAGGGCGCCGCTGGTCGTTTCGGCATCGCTGCAGACTCTGTGGCTCGACTTTAACTGTAAATGCGAAGAAGGTGGAAAGCACGGAATAGCCGTGGAACAGCGGCTGTTTTTGGGGAGTGCCCTGTGACATCAGGACTTACTGTCATTTGAAGCCACTGTAGGCAGACGCACAAGGCACTTTTGCTCATACAACAGTAGAATAAGCAAACGAGTATCGTTCCAATTGCTCAATTCTTTATTCCGTCGAATATTCCCAGCTATATAGAACATTTAGCCATGCCCACATAATTGTATACGATTGATGAATCAATTTTCTACTTAACTGGCTTATTTTTAATACATGCTTTTTTTGGATTTTGCTTTTAAAAAGGTTTTAGCGAAAAAGGTCAAACAAATGAAACGTAATAAAACGTAAGAGAAAAATCGTTCCAATTGCTCAATTTCTTTATTCCGTTGAATAATGCTGCCTAACTAAAACCATTAGCTCTGCCCACATAATTTTAGACCATTAATGAATAAATTGTCTACCTGATTGACTACTTTTAAGTACACTCTTTTATTGTGTAGTGTATAAAACAAGGTTTAGGCAAAAAAGGTCAACAAAAAAACAGTGGCAACGTAAGTTAGTATGGAGTGTAACGTAAGTGAGTATGAAATGTCACGTCAACCGGAGTTTGGGCTCAGCTATACCCTATTTCGTTGATATATATGAAGAAACTGGTTTTCCAAGCTGTTTTAAAACGTAATTAATATAGAAATTATCTCAGATTGCTCTGTTTTAGACATATTAATGCATATGATTAGGGTATTGTAAATATATCTCGATCCCGATACACATTCTTGGTTTCTGTAAGAAGAACACTACCTTCAAAATGTCGTTGAAATACCTTTAAAACAGAGACTGACTAGTTTTGGCCTATATTGGTGCATTAGATAACAAACATTTCCTCCATTCTAGATCATCCATTTCCCCAGGGTATTCAAAATGTTGCTTTATCCGCGCCATGTTGGGGAACAATGCTGCTCGATTTCACGGCACATGACTCTGGTCCATACAAATTGAATGTTGCCAGCAGCATAATACGTAAGAAAACGTAAATGGAATGTAAGGGACATTGTTGAGGGGAAAAAGGACATTGTGGCGAGGAAAAAATCCCATAGAAAATCCCGACATTTAAATACCGTAAACGGTCACCCTGTTGGTGCTGCCAACTCGTTTCATTCGCGGTATTTTCCAGGCAGTTGGTATTTTTAAAGGTTAGCACCGTGTCGTGCGTAGAGGTGGGCACGGACCGTGTTTTCTTCGTGTTACGTGTCAAGACACGATGGTCGACCGCGTGTGCGTGTTGAAAAATTGAATTTTGTCACCAACAAAACTGTAATTAGATATGGTATTCTGTCTTGTTTTGAGGTTCCAGCTTATTACTGAATTGACTTGATTAGACCCATTTCATACCTATTTATATATCAATTTATTTTATATAACAAGGCATTATAATATTTCGTGTTGGAAATTTGTATATCCGTGCCATGTTGGGTCGTGACGCAAATGTTCATCTCTAGTCGTGCGCCGCATTGGTTTGGATACACTGGTGCGCCATTTTTCTTGCTTGACACATGAAGCCGAGTTACAGTGGCCAGAAAAAGTTATAAATTGCATATTGCAAAAAGTGTAGATAATTAATAAAAAGTGCCAAGCAAGCCGTTTAGCAGACCCAAGTGATGTGCGTTCTTATTGTAGCAATGAAAGGCAGTTAATTGTTGTATAAAACGTGATTTAGATTGCCGTGTGCCCAACGTCGGGTCCGGGGGCAGCAGATTCCGAATAAATATAACAAAAGAGGCGCCAATCTGGAATACCCGAAAAGGCCCATTCAGTGCATCAGAGATAACAAGTAATGAAAACAAATAAACCACATATTTGATTGGTATTCGATTTCCCCTCTAATACGAGCATTAAACAGTTTTTTGTGGCGCATGTTTTGTTTTTTCGTGCACTGTACACCAGTGTGTAGTCAGTGCGTTTTGCATTTGTGTGTGTGTGTGTACACATTTTAGGCGGTAATGGTGTGAGGCCCTGGCCGCCAGCCGATACCGCGATAACTATCGCTATCGATAAGAGCACGCTAACGTTTGTTTTGTTTTTCTTGCAGTTCATGTCGATATAAGGAAGCGCACGCAGCATTTGTCCATTGAATAAAGTAGAATATGGAGGAGATATCCAGTTTAGACTCTTTTGGGCCAGACTCCAATGCCCGGCCAGAGACAGAAACGCCCCGACCAGAGGAGCAGAGCCCCCGAGGAGAAGCTCCCGGTGAGGAAGAGCAAGCGCCCATTGTGGCCGAACAGGACACCCCCGCCTCACCGCCTGCGGAAGATGCTGCTGGAAGTGTCGGACACGTGGCTGTGGAGGTGCCCAATCCCAATGAAGACTCCGAAGAGGGTGGTGCAGCCGTCGCTGCCACCGTCGGGTCAGTCGAAAAGGATGCCGCTGAGCCAGAGGAAGACTTTGAGCAAATATCGGAGGGCTCCTTAGACGCTTTCGATAATCAGTCGCAGGAGAAAGCAGACAAACCAGCCACTCCCCCCCAGCAAGACACAGCGGCTGAGGGGTCGGTAGAGGCAGACGCGGACGCGGAAACACCGTTGTCATCCGAGCCAGCAGGCGATGATGCTGACCCTGGCGAGGCCGAAGCACTGCTAGAAGCTGAAGCTGGCGATGAAGAGGAGCAGGATGGTCGCGAGGAAGCTAGCATGGCGGAGGCAACCGATGAAGCCGATGCACTGAAGCTAACGGATGCCGCGAGCATACAAGAGGCGGATGCAGTCGACGGTGCTCCGGCCTCCAATGAAGCCATGGACGTGGATGAGGGCGAAGCGGCAACAGCTGGAGATTCGCCTCACACGACAGAGGCACCAGACGATGTGGAAATGCGCTCTCCGGGAGAGGACTCTCACCCCCCTGACGATGCTGACCCACCCGAGGGTCGGGACGAGGTGGACAACAGTTTGGAGGAACAAGATAACGCTGCCGATCCGGACGAGGCAGAGGGCGAAGTGCCTGCGGAAGATGAGGACAATGCAGACGCCGACGCCGACGCCGACGCGGAACCCGAAGAAGCAGCGGACGATGCTGGTGAAGCTGAGCATGGTGATGGTACGTCGAAAAATAATGTTTTATCGAAAGAAATGTATGTACAAAAGGTGCATTGAAATATTTCAGATACCGTAGAAAATGTGCTGGAACCCGAGGAATCGGATGTTTGCCTCATTCCCGACGACAACGAGACGGAGGTGACCGAAGCGGAGAAGGAATGGGCACGGGAGAACGCCGAGAAGGCTGCCGAGGATGAGATAGCCGCCGAGCAGGCGAGCAGTTCCAAGACGCCAGAGAACGATGGGACAACAGCCAACGCCGATTCTGCCGACCCAGAGGATGGCGATGCTGCATCCTCTGCAGAGCCTACAGAAGACGCGACAGCCGTCCCTCCGAATGGTATGTAATCCGCAAAAGCTTTCTTTTCCATCTGTCCCCCTGCACCTTGTCTTTCCATTGTTCAGATGCTCAGGCTGATGCACCAGCTGGAACTCAGCCGACGGCATCAGAGGGTGCTGAAGGTGAGTTGAGGATTAGATCAGATCAGAACAGAACACGAACTCAATGGCGATTGCTAATGCTTATCCATCCACTCTTCACTCTAGATGATGTCAACGATTCGCTGGCCAACGACGAGGAGGCTGCTGCCGATGCCCCCGACGCAGATGAGCCGACGGCCGAGGAAGCAGCCAGTGCCACAGAGGGCGAGGCGGGAGCCCCTCCGAAAATTATCATCAGTTGGGTGGTGGGCAGCGTGAAGACGTGTCGGCAGTGTGGTGTCGAGAAGACCTGCGGCTTCCGGTTCAAGCGGCCAGAGGAGCCCAAGGACAAGGACAAGGATGAAGGGCAGGAAGCACCCGAGGAGCCGGTGGCGCCCGTGAATGAGTACCTCTGCGACCAGGCCTGCTGCAATGCTCTGCTGGAAGAGCAGCCGGGCAAATATTTCGTTCGGCGCAAGAAATTCCTGGTCGAGGAGGTCGCCGGGACCGCTGCGGACACCAGTGAAGAGGCAGAAGCAGAAGAGAGCGAAGCGCCGCCAGAGGGAGACGAATCACAGACGGAGCAGCAGAAACGCGACTGCCTGCAGTGCAAGCAGCAGACAAAGTGCCAGTATCTAATCCGGCAGGATCAGGACACGTACTACATATGCAATGACGACTGCTTCAATCTGCTCAATGCCGAGGAACCCGACAAGTACAAGCTGAAGCGGCATTCGATTCGGGTGCGCAACATCGGAGCCACCGCCATGCAGCCCTCGGCCAAGAGGCCAGAGACCAGTGTCGTGGCCCGCACGAACGTCGAGGCGGAGGCCGCTCGACTGGATCGCATCGAGAGCTTCCGGCGGCGCTGTGCCGACTGCGCGACGGAGATAGACCTGAACGAGCGGCAGCTGATGTGGGAGACGATGGACTTCTGCAACGAGGTGTGCCTGCGCAACTACCAGCTGAGCATCGGCTCCAAGTGCGAGACGTGCAAGCAGGACGTGAGCTCCATCGCCCTGGGGAAGTACTGCGTGAGGTTCGGGTTCGAGGTGCGGCAGTTCTGCTGCGCCGCCTGCCTGAACACCTTCAAGAAGGGCCTGAAGACGTGCTCGTGCTGCCAAAAGGACATCAGCAGCGGGCAGGAGGGCTTCCTGGCCCCGGTGGGCGACAAGGATCAGTTCAAGGACTTTTGCTCGCAGGTCTGCCTGCGGCGCTACGACTGCATGTGCAACCCGAAGAAAAAGCTGCGCATGGACATGTGCGGCGTGTGCAATAACGAGAAGCCGGTGCGCGTCGAGATGCTGCTGGACGACAAGGAGCACTACTTCTGCTCGAACCCGTGCTTCTCGGCCTTCAAATTCGTGAGCAACGTAAACGCCGACCCCTGCGCCATGTGCTCCAAGTACTTTGAGCGCAAGAGCGCCGAGGCCTACACCATCTACAACGAGCAGCAGACCCCGAAAGTGTTTTGCTCGCGCATCTGCATCAACGTGTACATTATCGTGAACCGCCACATTGTCTCCTGCCAGTGGTGCAAGGTCAAGAAATATAATTTCGATATGATCTACCAGCTGGCCAGCGACCAGGAGACCCTCACCTGCTCCATCAACTGCCTCACCATGCACGGCGTCAGCTGCAACATCTCCGCCCGTGCCGTCACCAAGTGCGACAACTGCAGCCAGTTCAATACGCCGCAGTACCACCTGACCATGTCCGATGCCTCGATGCGCAACTTCTGTACATATCAGTGCGTGATGCAGTTCCAGAATCAGTTCTCCCGCACACCCCTCACGCTCGACAGCGACACCCAGCCGAGCAGCAGCAGCAAATCGCAGCAGTCCTCGCCCTCGTCGTCCGCGTCCTCGGCCCTGCTGCGAGGCGGAAACAAGAACTCCACGGCACCCTTCCCCACGGGTCTGCCCAAGCGCGTTAAATTGAAGCTATCGGTAAGTGATCCTCGCTACAGTAAGCGTATTTGCGCATTTTGGTGCATTATTGATCTCTCTGCTTGCAGAACGCCAAAAACAATTCGATGCCCGCCAACAAGAAATCCATCGGAGGCACTGTGGTGCCAGTCATAGCCAATGTCACATCACTGGCCACTGAGAACGACGCGCGCGGTGTTATGCGGCGCAAGCGTGGTCGCAAGTTGGACTCTCCGCCGCCGCTGACCATGATTTCGGGGGGCACCCAAGGGTCATCCCAAATAAGCGTAATGGGCCGTGGGCGTCCGCGCAAGCACGTGGACTATGGGACGCGCTCGCCGTCGCCGGGATTGGCCAGCACCTCAACGGGGGGGCTGATCGCTGGACGACGAAACACGGCCACAGGCAGCAGCGTCGATTTCTCGGCGCCCATCACGGAGACGAAGATTATAACGGTGCCGCCGTACCCGAAGGCCGTGCGCAATGTGAACATCAGCTGCAAACCCATGATGGTGTCCACGGGCGAGCAGTGCAAGCCGTCGGTGCGCGATTGTGCCACGCAGACGGACAAGGACTATTCGAATAAGGTGTTGATTCCAGTGCCAGTGCCGATATTTGTGCCACAGCCCATGTACATGTACTCGGCACCGTTTCCCGTGCCGGTGCCCATTCCGCTGCCCATACCCGTGCCGATCTTCATACCCACCACTCGCAACACCGCCCAGGGCATACTGAAGGAGATCAAGAAAATCCAGGACAAGATGCCCGAAGATCCGCTCGAGGCGGAGCTGCTCATGATGGCCGAAATGGTGGCCGAGGAGAAGCACGACTCGGACTCCGATTCCGACAATGAAATCAAGCCGGATCCGGGCCTGGTCAACCTGCAGTACCAGAACAGTCTCGAGTCCGTCAATCAACAGCAGCAGCAGCAGGTCGTCGATGTCAGCGGCGCCAGTCACAATCCCTATGGCGACGACATGCTCCAGATAGCCCTTAAAATGGCCACGGCCGACTACGACAATCATCATCAGTCGTCAACGGTGGACCTGGAGACGTCGATGACGGCCAACACGATCCCCACACCCCCCATGGGACACGACGCAATGGGACAAATGGGTGTCCACCATTTGGATCAGCAGCACCATATGCTGGATGCTTCAAGCCGGTAAGACAAAACAGATTAGCCAATCCCCAGAGCCAAAGTATAACTGAATTGTAATCCTGTTTCAGTTCTCCCCGTGGCCGCAAGCGAGGCGGTGGCTCTGTCATGGACTCACCTAATCGGAACAGCCGATCGCCGGTGAAGAGGCCGCGTGGCAACGAAATGGATCACTCGGCCCTTCAGTTGCAGTCACAGCAGGCCCAGCAGCCGCAGGAGAAGCCCGATGCCCAGATGTTCCTCAAGTACACGTTCGGCGTGAATGCGTGGAAGCAGTGGGTGATGACCAAGAATGCGGATATCGAGAAGAGTTCGATGCGTAGGCGGCCCTTCAAAACGGAACTGCTGCAAATGACTGCCGACGAGCTGAACTACTCCCTCTGTCTCTTTGTGAAGGAGGTGCGCAAGCCGAATGGCACGGAATATGCGCCCGATACAATCTATTATCTTGTTTTGGGTAAGTACATCGCTCCACTCCCTCAATAGTGCCTGATGTTCTCGCTCTATAACCCATAAACGCTTTAATCTTGCAGGAATCCAGCAATATTTATATGTCAATGGACGTATCGACAACATATTTTACGATGCATATTATGAACGATTCACGGAGTGCCTGGATGAGGTGGCCCGCAAGTTCTCTGTACTCTACAACGATTCCCGTAAGTCGCTGTTGAAGTTGTGTATTCAGTTTCAGGGTAGTTTCATCCTTCTCCTTTTACAGAATATATTGTTACTCGCGTGGAGGAAGAGCATCTGTGGGAGTGCAAACAATTGGGTGCCCATTCACCGCACGTGCTGCTCAGCACACTTATGTTTTTCAACACAAAGCACTTTAATCTGACGGTAAGCCTAGTGCATATTTTAATTATTTGATTTATTGTAATACTTGGGATGTTTTTAGACCGTAGAGGAGCACATGCAGTTATCCTTCTCGCACATCATGAAGCACTGGAAGCGCTCATCGCAGAATTCGAAAGTTCCTGGATCACGAAATGTGCTCTTACGTTTTTATCCACCGCAGGCGGGCCTGGGTAAGTCATAGCTTGAATCAAATCATTCTAGGAATGATTGCTAATAATTTTACGTACTAGATGCTAATCCCCGGAAGAAGAAGGTATACGAGCAGCAGGAGAACGAGGAGAATCCCCTGCGCTGTCCCGTCCGTCTTTACGAATTTTATCTATCTAAATGGTAAGTGGATTGGATTATGATACAATCCTGCTCGATGTTTGGGTTGATCGTAATGATGTGTTATCTTTGTTTTTTTGCAGTCCGGAGAGCGTAAAGACACGCAACGATGTATTCTATCTACAGCCCGAGCGTTCCTGTGTGCCCGACTCGCCCGTTTGGTACTCGACGCAGGCTCTCGGCCAGGACGCCCTGCAGCGGATGCTGCATCGCGTGAAAATGGTCAAGGAGATCAACATAGCGCTATTGACTACTTAATGTTTAGTTGGCCAGCAGATACGACGAATCAGATATAGATATCAATGTGTATGTGCAAGGAATATTGCCCCTCAAACGAGGCCTGAATCGGAGGAATACTTTTCAGCTTCGTGCTTAGCACGGGCTTGTTTGCGGGCAACACCAATTAGAGATAAACGACGGGAGCGATATAGAGAAAGAGGATGATGAGTGGCATAGGCTAGGCCCTTCCCTCCTTGGAAGATCGAAAGTGCTATACTATAAATTCTGTTTTAAGTTTAAATTTACTTTTAACTTGATTCTTTCTTGATTTATATTCATTTCGGACAGCGTCGAGAGCGGGCGAATAAGGATAAGGAGTGGAGTTGTGTAAATTTTAAACGATAACCAAGTCCCATCCTAATCTCACTTGAAGTACATAATACGAGAGTAATGCACCAACAATTCACGGACACAAAGACACTGACACGCAACAATTTCATTAGTTTTAGGTTCTCTGAAGGCAGAAAGCACACACCACATTTTTAGTCATTAATTAGATTGTGTTTAGCATTAAGCAGAGCAGTAAAAAGCAAGGAAGTACAGTACGCATGGTGCGCAGCCGTTGTATGAGGAGGGGGAATAATAGCTATCCAGCCGGATAGCCAGACCCTAGCCCCACCCCTACCCTACCTAGCCCCTAGTAGCACTAGCCCTTCAATTTTAAGAGTGCATGTATGTATGTACATAAACATAAACATAGACCCACAAACGACTATAAATATGATACAAAACAGTAACAATTAGCCGCTTAGCTGTTGTTTGTAAGTGTTTACTTGTAAAATGCTGTACTCCTTCTCCTTAATTGCAACATTCATATACGAAAATACATACATACTTTGAAATGAAACGAAATGAAGGGAAACGTGGGCCTAAAAAGAGAATGGATACCACTCCGCTAACACTCAGCGTTTGAAATAACCAGGAGGACCTACTTACAGGTCCAGCGAAAAGAAGCGAAAACTGATGATGCCGCAGCACTGTAATTTTTGTAGAATTTAGTAGAGTCGCAGCAGCAGACAGAAGCAAGGGGTTTCTTTTCAGAATATTATTGTTTTTTACAACATATATTTATAATAAATAATATTAAATGCCAACACAAAAAGAGAAAACGGGGTATTAAACACTTGAAACATATGTATTTACTAAGCGAATTATATTTACTTTTCGTTTCTTGTGGCTGGCTGCTGCTGCGACTTCTCATATTTAACTTGAACAGTTTGGAGCATAACTCCTGCCACTTTTGGCCAGTAAGTTTTTCCAACAATGCTGATAATTGGTAGATGGATGCCACAAGTGGGCGGTCGTAATTTATTCATACAAAAAGTGAATGCGATTCTCTATTCCGTTGTAATACATATGAATCTTGAATCGGATTTAGGTTGGATTGGGAGTGGGCCACTATTCGGGGCCCTTCGGCTAGCGTATACAAATACAAAACAGATGGATCTAATAGTATATATATATATATTTTAAAGATAAGATATCTTCGCTTGGTCATGCTCTCTGTTTCTGTGTCGTGCGGATGAGGCTCTTTGTTTTCTTGTCTTTTTTTTTTTGTAGTATCAACACTGCTGCCGCCGCTTTTAGATCAGCGTCTGTTCCGTTTACCACTCGGCGTCTCCGTTGGATTTCTGGAACACGTAGTCCTTGCCCCGCATGTTCATGATGCCATCTTTGAGATAGAATTTCCATTTGTTGCGGGACCGAGTGATCTAGGAGGAAGGAGAATTTGTATAAGAATTATGATTCCCGATCAAACGCCCTCAAAGCCCCATACCTTGTCGTACTGGCAAACGATGACGTTGTCTGTGTCGAACGTTTCTGTAGAATCTTCATCGGTGACATCGTCCTCGCTGTTGAGCGGCTCCTCCTCGGCGGCATCCTCGTGCTCCACATCCTCATCATCGTCCTTGTCTAGATCATCATCATCATCGTTGTCGATGTTGTCGTCACTCTCCTCGCTCTCATCCTCATCGGACGAGTCCAGAGCGCCATCCAGCTGCTTCGAAGCACCCATATTTTCTAGTAGTTTTATCACAGGATTAGCACTAGCCTTGGATTGGATGGGATTGGTCGAACCGACACTTACTCTGGATATTGGCACTGGTGAGGGCCGCATTCACGTGTTGCTGCAGCACTGAGGAGGCCAGTGTGGTGGGCAACGTCATGATGGATGAAATCAGATGGGCTGTAAGTATTTGGGTGAGCTGATTCTCCTGCAGCGCCGATGCGGGCACTTGTATGGTGAGAACACGAGATTCCGAGCTGCCCGAACCGGCCGTCGAGGGCAGTGTAATCTAAAAGATTAAACCGAACCATAAGTGGGAGGACACCCGAACAGCAGACATCGATCTCACATTCACGGGCATGATGCGGTTGGGGTCCAGCGAGGCCACAATTGGAATGGGTGTCTGACCACCGCCGGATGCTTGCTGTCTCTGCGCAATGGATCCCCCTGATGTGGGATGCAGTGGCGGCGGATTCTGTGAAGTGACTTCCTGTTTGATGGGCATCTGTCCGTTCTTCAGTCCACTCCCAGCAGCAGCAGCACCAGCAGCGGGCGACTTTGCCGCCATCGCTGCCGTCGAGGAGCTGCTCTGTGAAGTAGCTGCGGCGGCCTTCTTGGCCTTGGCATTGGCAGCCTGAAAGTGTTTCGAGTTCGATGATTAGTGGGGTATGTTCTGTGGGGGAGACTCTCACTGGCAGACAAAAGGCATTAGGCATTACCTTGGTGCTCTGCAGTTGAGGCATGTGCGAATGCGTGTGGGTGTAGATAGATACGAAAGATGTGTGGGGCGTGGCATGTAGTGGGGGGTGCGTTCATGATGATGATGATGGTGGGGGCAGCAGGTAAGAAAAGCAGCACAGTCGATGGCAGTGTCGATGTCGCATTGTTGTTGTTTGAGGACATAGGGAAGATAAAGCAAGAGAGATCTTAGTGTTGAAATCTCTCCCCAGAGTACAGCAAATGACACACACAACATTAATTAACATACAGTACACATACGAACGAATATGTCTGGAATGGACGCACGGATCAACATCGAAGGTGGGGAGGCAACGATCACACACCTTGCTTACCTTTGGATTGTTGGCCACTATCGGCGGCGGATGGGAGCCCTCGCTCGGGTCCGGTGTCAATTCAACGGCCTTACTTGCCAGAAGCTTGTTGCGCCAAATCTGCTTCATCTCCTGCAGAACCTGCTCGTCAACGCCCTCGTCCAGGAAGGCATCCCTCACATTTGTGATGACATCCTCGATCACGGCATGATAGACCTTCAGCTTTGAATGGGAGAGGGAGTGGAGTGGCAATGCCAATGCATATTAAATTAAATTCTGAATACATAAGCAATTATTTAAATGCACAAACACACCCACACATACACCCAGGCCAGGCAGTCGAACCTTTATATTGTATATGTGTTTTCGTACCGGTATCGCAGAGGAGCATTGTACTGACGGTATTTATTATTTTTGCCTCATTCGTGCACCGCTTTATAGAGAAACATACGCAAGTTGTAGTACCTTATCAGGGCGATAAGAGGCGGCCGCCCCACTACGATAGTGTGGCAGGAGAAGAATGATTGTGTGTTGTTCTTTGAGGGGGTTCTTCGATATGCTTCGATGTGCCAAAAACCATAGGAAACACCCACGCCTTCTTTCCGTGGGCGTGTAATGGAGCGCCTAAAAAAGTGCAAGGCACCGACACCTACACCTACCTACACATACAGTAAACTAACACAAGCACGCACACAGTCATGGTGTCGCCATGCCATACCATTGCAATGGCACTGCGCTGCATTAACGGATCGTCGTGCTCTTTCTCGGGAGAAAACTTTCACTTTCTTGGGGAAGGAGGGGTGGCTCCGCAATCCTCCTTGCAGCTTTTCTTCCATATGGCGGCACCTAAATTCGAGTGGGCGCCCCAAAGGGTCTGCCGACAAGAATTCCCCCCATATGTACTGGCACAGTTATCCCCCCACGCTGCCCACTCACCACTGAGGTTTGGCATAAAGCCATCTGGACCTTTTTCTCCGCCAGCTTGATTCTGTTCTCTCGATTTTAGTACGCAAATTATCTTTAAATGAATAATAAATTAGCAGAAAAATTAAAACGATGCGTCCGAGAAAGAGTGGTAGTGTGACCAGATGTGCCACAACGCGCACTGTAAAATACTCGAAAATACTAAAAAAAAAACAGGTGGGTCCTACGAAAAACAGCAACGAAAATGAAACACAATTTTCAGCTATGCCGGCGATAAACACTATAACAATACGAAAAAGCATACAATATCTTATTTTTGCGATCTAATCCAGAATGTTCGTTTGCGACATGTTCGGTGCATCTGATACTATCGGAAGTGTTATCGATAGTTTTTCCTATCGCCAAGAGTTTGTTTTTAATCGACTCCCGCCCCCTTTACTGTGCAACAGGTTATCCCGGAATTTCCCCCTTTGCATCGTTCGGGTGCAACCCACTCTTGCATGAATCAGCGACGGCCACTTATCCCGCCCACAAGTGCATGATGAGCGGCTCAGAGACCGCCGAGGCCCAGGGAACTGCCAACAGGACCAGATCCAGATCGCACCAAGACGACACTCTGCTGATTAGGCTTCTGCCAGTGGTTGCGCGTCATCAGCTTTGCGTCCACCTGGACTCCTTGGATGTGTGGCAGCAGTTGGCCACGGCTGTCAAGCTCTACCCGGAGCAGGTGGAGCAGATAAGACACCAGAAAGACCGCGGCCGTTCCCCAGCAAACGAGTTCATGAATATATGGGGGGGCCAGTATAATCACACAGTCCAGAGCCTGTTTGCTCTGTTCAAAAAGTGAGTTCAGATCCAATTGGGAGAAAGTTATAATAAGTCCTACCCCTCGTCCTCTCCAGGCTGAAGCTGCACCACGCCATGCGGATGATCAAGGACTACGTGAACGAGGACCTGCACAAGTACATTCCCAGGAGCGTGCCCACCATCAGCGACCTGCGTGCCCCGCCCGATTCAAATTCGAAAATAGACAATGGCCCGCCCTTTCCCTCCTCCTCGGGCGTCAGCAACTCGAACAACAACCGCACGACGACGACGATGAGCGAGGAGATTCCCAGTTTAGAATCTCTGGGAAACATCCACATCAGCACCGTGCAGCGGGCGGCCGAGTCCCTGCTGAAGATCGACTACTCGGAGCTAGAGCGGGCCACGGACAGCTGGTGTCCGGAGAACCGCCTCGGCCAGGGCGGATTCGGAGAGGTCTACAAGGGCGAGTGGAAGCAGCTGGACGTGGCCATCAAGGTGATGAACTACCGAAGCCCCAACATCGACAAAAACCAGGTGGAGCTGCAGCAGAGCTACAACGAGCTCAAGTACCTGAACACCATTCGGCATGACAACATCCTGGCTCTCTACGGCTACAGCATCAATGGCGACAAGCCCTGCCTGGTCTATCAGCTGATGAAGGGCGGCTCGCTGGAGAACCGTCTGCGGGCGCACAAGTTGCAGCAACCGCTTCCGGCGCTGACGTGGATGCAGCGTTTCAGCATTTGCCATGGCACGGCCAAGTAAGAGAATCAGTTTCGTTTCCCCGAACTGCAGTTGATTGAATCCTCCTTTCTATTGCTCCCCATAGAGGCATTTACTTTCTTCATACGGCCCGCAGCACTCCCCTCATCCATGGTGATATTAAGCCCGCAAACATTCTGCTGGATCAGTGCCTGCAGCCAAAGATCGGGGACTTTGGGTTGGCACGCGAGGGACCCAAGTCGATAAATGCTGTGATGCAGGTGAAGAAGGTGTTTGGCACCAGGATCTACCTTCCGCCGGAGTTCCGCAATTCCAAACAGCTTAGCACGGGCGTGGACGTGTATAGTTTCGGGATTGTGCTGCTGGAGGTGTTCACCGGGCGCCAGGTGACGGATCGCCTGCCCAAAAACGACCAGCATCAGGATCTGCTGCACTATGTCAAGCAGAATTGGGCCCAGTCGCAGCAGAATCGCCTGGAACTGCTCGACAAGCACATACCCAAGGCGGTTGGCGATGAGCTGGACATGTGCCTGTGCGCCATCGAGGCTGGCCTCCAATGCACGGCCCTCGAGACGCAGGACAGGCCCTCAATGAACGGCGTCCTCAATAGATTCAAGCCATTCCGCATTGACTTTTGACCATTCATACATATCGTATATTTACTCGATCCAAGATCTGAACTGTGCCTTAAAGCCTCTATATTGTTACCCGTATATTATAATATAATCGTTTTGTACGTTGATTCTAGCGTCATTTTTGGTTACATCTTCGACCATTTAAATTTTAGCAACACATCACAAAATACTCAAAGTAGTTTTTATTTTTATTTGTGAGGAGCTCCGGCCAGGTCCATCATCGACAGAGACCTCATTTACCTTTTTACATTAGTAGTTTTAGCCCCAGAAATTTTCCATTATAATAAAGTTCTGACAGACAGAAGTTTCGAGCCATTCGGGAGATGAATTTGAAAAATTCCAAGTTTTACAAACGCATCCAGGAGTTGCGACGCTTTTCGAAGGAGAAGATTCGCAAGGACCGAGAGCAGCGCACCTGCGCTCGGCTGGACATGGCCCTCAGCGAGCAACGTCCCCACCATGAGTCTGACCTCGAGTGGTCCAGTTCCCCCCGCCGTCGTTCCAAGAAGACCAAGGGCAAGAAGAAGGCGGCCTCCCGTCTGTCAGGTGGCAAGGACACGCACTGCTCTAGCCCCGTAGGCGACGAGATTCCGCCGGAGGCTGGGATCCAGAGCTACATCCAGCTGAACGACAAGTGCTATCGGCTGGCCTGCACTAGGCAGGTGCCTGTCAAATCCTCGCGAGATGATGACCGCTCCATTAGCGAGTCCAAAAGCGCCATTTGCGTGTCCAACTCACGCTACGCGATGATCGGCAGGATATCCAAGACCCTCGGATACAAGCTGGTCAAGGAGACCAAACTGTGGAACATTCTCTGGTCGGACTCGTTCCCCGGCGTAGAGCTCTTCAAGAACATGAAGCGCTTCCAGCAGATCAACCACTTTCCCGGCATGATCGAGATCTGTCGCAAGGATCTGCTCTCGCGCAACCTCAACCGCATGTTCAAGGTGTATCCACACGACTACAAGATCTTCCCCAAGACCTGGATGCTGCCAGCGGAGTAAGTGAAGGTATATTCTTCCCTGTCCGATCATTAAGTGTTCCCCCTTCTGTCCAGCTATGGGGATGCCATGAACTATGCTCTGACCCACAAGCGGACGTTCATTTTAAAGCCGGACTCGGGCGCCCAGGGACGCGGCATCTGGCTGACCAACGATCTGAAGACCATCGGGGCCAACGAGCGGCTCATCTGCCAGACCTACGTCCACCGAGTGGGTAACCATTCGACTCTAGATCGGCCGCATGCCTAACCCATACCATAACCATTCTAACAGCCCCTTCTCATCGATGGCTACAAGTTCGATCTGCGGGTCTATACACTCATTACATCGGTGGATCCGCTGCGTATCTTCGTGTACAACGAGGGCCTGGCCCGGTTCGCCACGAACAAGTACGTGGAGCCCACGCCGGGCAACTCCAACGACCTGTACATGCACCTCACGAACTATTCGGTGAACAAAAGGAACTCCCACTACGAGCTGTGCGACAACGACGACTGCGGCAGCAAGCGGAAGCTGAGCGCCATCAACAACTGGATGCGCAGGCACAACTACGATGTGGAGGAGTTCTGGACGAACGTTGACGATGTGATCATCAAGACGGTGCTCAGTGCCTGGCCCGTGCTAAAGCACAACTACCACGCCTGCTTCCCCGGCCACGACAAGATCCAGGCCTGCTTCGAGATACTCGGATTCGACATTCTGGTGGACTGGAAGCTGAAGCCCTACATCCTGGAGGTCAATCACTCGCCCAGCTTCCACACCAACGAGCAGGTGGATCGCGAAGTCAAGCGTCCTCTCATCCGGGACACCCTCAATCTGGTCAGCGCTGTGCTGGCGGACAAGAAGCAGATCATGCGCGAGGATCGCAAGCGGGTCAAGCAGCGCCTGCTCAAGACCAAGGGCGAGACGTAAGAAATCTATTTGTTCCTTTGGCCCTTCCATCATACTACTCCTGCCATCCATTCAGATTGCAGCGTCCCCGTGTCTGCAGTGGATCCACAAAGACCGAAGGCAGCCCGAAAAAGGTTGAGCCCGAGGAGGACCAGGACCCACTGGCCCAACAAGTCGCCTGGGAGGACAGTCACATGGGAAACTTTCGCAGGATCATGCCTCCGCCCGACGGCACCAAGGCCGAGTACTACAGCCAGTTCTATGGCCAGACTAATCAGGTGTCCATCTTCGCCGAGACGGCGGCCAGCAAGAAGCGGGAGGATCTTGCCCGCAAGATGCGCCTCCAGATCGAGGAGAAGAAGGCCAAGCAGGACCAGATGCTGCATGGACGCAACAAGACTGACAAGCGCAAGCGTCAGCTCGTCATCCTGCCGCGAGCTGTGCGCGAGAAGAACCGCGTCCAGCTCTACCGCCTGCAGGAGCACTGGCTGCCGGGCTTCATCTCCGAGGCGGAGGAACGGCTGCGCCACACCTGGCTCCAAATGCGCACTGAAGCGATCAAGACGCTGCGGATCACCGAGAATGTAAGTAAACATCTTTACTTTCCTCTGTCCTTTTATTTCTGATCCTTTCCTTAGGTCTATGCCACGCTGTACGAGGCGGGCAACCTGACCAACACGGACATGGTCGTTTTTCCGCATCTGTACCAGCATCTACAGAACGGCTTTGACATCAAGCAGCACACATGAGACGCCACACATGGCATTTCGTCCTCCCTCCCCATTTGAACTTCCACATTTCCACGTATGTTGTTAAATTTGTTATATGTTAAATTTTACTTTCTAATTAAAAGAAAAAATTAAAGAGCTGCCCCATCAAACCGATCAGGGAGGTGTCCTCAATCTGTTCGGTTCTGATGCTGACGGGTTCCGTGATGAACAATGAACATAGAAGAATACAGACTTATCTTATAAGGAAATAGTAAACTGCAAGATATTAAGGGACTCAGTTCCTATAAGGAAATACTAAACAGCAAGATATTAAGGGACTCAGGGACTATGCCAGAAACATTTAATTTCTCGAATTTGAGGTTTACTTCAAGGTCAATCAATCCAATCAATCCATTTCTGAAAGCAGAAAAATGTAATTAAACCCCAAAATAAAAAGCGACTTCAAATCTAATTCCATACTATACATAAAATATATTAAAAAAAAGCCAAAGTTGAAGAAAAATAAAAAAAGAAGAAAACTGCTACTTTAGTTCCATATATCTTCAAGTATATTCATTTTATCGCTATGAATAAAAAATCGTATGAAAGGTCATGCAATTCTCTTTTCGACCCATACATTTTTTTCGGATATTGGCGCTTCAAATGCCAAGTGAAAGATACAAAAGTGCACAAAGTCAAAAAAACAGATTTTGAATTTTTAAAAAAGATTTCGTGGTATATTGGAAATTCGAATACAATCTAACCTAATTTTTGCCTTGTGGAATGTATATAAATACAGTGAAAAGTTTTCAAATAGCTGCAAAGTGTTATTAGAGGGTGAAGTTCTCAAATGAAATACATTATTCGATGATTTCTTAATGAATAGATTCTCTAGAAACTTAGGAGATAATGAGAATGAGATGGGAGTATGCTTCGAATAAAAGTTTTATATTATGATTAGGAAAAATAACTGATAATATCACTAAAAGAAACATCTCCATTGCAGAGGGATAAATTTTGAATGAAATGCAGACGGATCTGTTTTCTGAATGGATAAATTCTGTATCAAAAACTCTTTAGCATAACTCTCTCGCATCTGATTTTGTGGGTTTATTTCAGGGGTAATTCTTCTCAAATTAATCTCATCTCTTTTGCCTCTTCTCAATATATCATATGGGAAATAGGAATGGGTAGCATAGCCCAGCATTAGTTCGTCATTAGCTGGCTCTCCGACTTCCTATAGACTTGGCAGGCTGCCCGGCTAACAAAAATCATAAACATTTGCATTTTGGCGCGTGTTCTGTTCGCTGCCCCATCGAAAGATCCATTAGATCAGAGACGAGAGAGAGTTTTCTGAGATTGAGCATCTTGAGAGCAATTCCATTCCGATTGAGGGGAGGAGGAGACTCTTCCATACGTTCGCATTGAAAGAGAGAGCGCACTGAACTCAGTCTCGCAAAGGAGCAGCCACCGGGCAGTCCACAGTCCACGGCAATTACAATCCGGAAAATATTTAGAAAGCCGTAAAAAAGAGATTTGCCCAGAGACCGTTGCGGCATGTTCAAAGCGTCGCAGGAGATGCGTCTGAACACCAATGCAGCTGCCTCTCTGTGTCCGAGTGGGAGTGGTGGGATCGAGGGGCCGAGTGCGGAGAAAGAGGGTATTTTTGGGCGCTACCAGCGCACGCCCGACGCGGGTGAGTCGACAATGAGGAAGTAAACATCGAAGCGAACCGTCTATTTATATACACCCCCAACCGATCCGCTCTGCAGATGCATATCCCACAGAGCCGCCCCGCGTCTTCATAGCTCCCGAGCTGACCCACGCGGGCAGGGTGCAATTGCTGCACTTTCCCAGCGGGGCTGTCCGCATCAACAGCTCCGTCAGCTTCATCCTCAAGCGGAACGGTGTCAAAGGGAACTTTGATGTTCGGGTAGAGGGTCCTAGCGGCCAGCTGGAGGCCGTGCAGCAGCAGCAGTTGGACCCGGAGCGCTTCCAGATCGACTGCCAGCTGTCCTCTGGTGCAGGACTCTACAAGGTGCACGTCAAATGCAACTCCGTGATTCTGCCCCGGTCTCCCTTCATCATAGTAGCCATAGCGGGAGCTCCCGAGGCCACGGAAACAAAATCCAGCAGTCCAGCAGGTGGGTCCCGTTCGAGTGTAATCCTCCACAACGGTAATCCCTCCTTATTCTCCTGCAGGATTGCCTATCTTTCAGTCGGATGCCAGCAAGGTACAGAGCCGGGGCCTAGGACTCTCGCACATGAGCTGCCTGGAGAGGAACGAGTTCACCGTGGACTGCAGCCAGGCGGGTAGCAACATGCTCTTCGTGGCCATCCTGGGACCACGGGGCCCTTGCGACGAGGTGCTGGTGAAGCATCTCGGCCGCAACGTACATCGGGTCACGTACCGCGTGTCGGATCCTGGGGATTACATTTTGGTGGCCAAGTGGGGGGAACAGCACATACCGGGGTCGCCCTTCAGCCTGGCCACCGAATAGGAGTTGGAGGAGTAGAATAAATGTGAATAGACGAAAATCTGATGGTGACCTTGTTCTTGCCTCTGCTTCTCCGCTTCCTACCCGCTGCCACCCGCCTTCCGCGGGACGATGTGCAATTTAATGATGATTACACTGTGGCAGCAGCAGCAAAGGCAGCAACATTATCATTTTTTGTTATTTAGCCCGGCGCTAATGACGTTCGCATTTGGGGGCTGCTTGCTGCCGCTGTCGCTGCCGTCGCTTCAACCTAATGATGATGACCGGCAAATACATGCATGTGTTGGTGTGTGTGTGTGTTATGCTCCAACAAAAGCAGTTGCGCATCATCACTGATGGTGCCTGAGAGGGAGAGAGAGAGAGAGAGGGGGGCGGGGGGAACATAACATAGCCAAAGTTGATGATGATGATAATGCGTTTGCTTTGTAGCCCGCCAGCCTTAACGAGCTGAGCTGAGTTTGGATGGAGGAGAAGGAGGAGAGAGCAGCCAGCTGCCGACTGAGCGACTGCGGGGCCACAAGATAAATTGCGCTTTGCCAGGCCCTAAAATCAAGCCAGATAAATCAAGCATGGCACAACGGATGGGGGGGGGGTAGTACTACTATTCCAAACTAAACAGATCCCTTTTCATTGCAATAAAAGTTGAATTTCCTCGGGCCCTTTCAATTCCCAACGTATTGTTTTGCCACTGTCTGGTCACACTGGCACGAAAAACCCTATGCACTATAGCTGGCCCGTTCACACCATGTTGCTTGCGCTGCTGCTGTCTCGCTTGTGCAGAGAACATCATTATTTGTTGGTGTGTTGGTGGCGAGAGCTGCGCGTACTACCAGATACGTCGTTTTTCGTGTGTTTCCCTCTCGAAGATAATTAAAATTTAATTATTTGACTTATAATCAAGTTCTGTTTTGTGCTGCCTGCCTGTTGTTGTGTTGGTGTTGTCTCTCCCCCATCCCCCGGCAATCTGCTACTCATGGAGAATAAGTAAAGAATGCACTGTGGCCGTAATCGACTCACCAAAAAAAGTTGATGTTGTGTGTGTGTGTGTGTATCTCTGCAAAGGGAAAAGTTGTGCGTGTGTGTATTGAAGAAAAGTAACCATCGAATCGCCCCCCCTCCCTCGCTTTGCGCACTTACAACTACACTTTTGCTGGCAGTGGCAGCGGCGGCGGCTCCAAGCAAAAGCAAGTGCGAAGGCAGGCCGCGGCGTCGGCGTCAAAGTTGTGTGGCATGTAGCATCTTCATCTCTTCTCTGGTATAGCAGTATACTGGAATAACCGCGTCAGTACGCTTTGAGCCAACGTCGCGTCAACTTCACATCTTGTATCTGCTGGATGCAATTTACATCGAGTTTCTCTCTGCCTTTTCCCCCTATATTTGCATTTGTTTACGGATTGCGTATTATGTCTGTGTACTGTGTGTGGGCCTGTGTGAGGGCCTCATCTGTGTGTTTGTGTGTGCGCCGGCTTAATGATAATTAAAAATCCGTTATTATAGTGCGCAGGCAAGTCCCGTTCGTTCGTTAGTTGGGGGAAGGGAGGCGTGGGTGTTCTCGTCCCCCTGTAACCTTTAAAGATTCGCCTTAGAAATGGTGTTGTATGAGATTTTCCCGCAATTATATAAATATTATATTATATCAGTGTAATTAAAAGTGAAATACCTTGTTAATTGATTTACTTCTGTTGTTGCTGTTGCAGGAGTGGATGCGCGTGTCCAATATGCCAGCCTACTAGATAAGTACTGCTTCATGTCCTGCACCAGCTGGCAGACGCAGTTTGTTGGGCAATCCCATTTGTCGGCAGCGAGACCCATGTGAAATGCCTGTGAGTACCCCTCTCCTGCCCATCTGAAGCTCCTCCTGGATATACGTCTCTTTACCTGTATCTCTTGCAGTATGAAAAATTCAACAAAAAGCGTCGACAATGGGAGGATAGTGGGGTACTAGAGCTAATCAAACTATGGAAAGTCTGCGCCTATGAGCTGCGCACCATCAAACGCAATGGCCATCTGTATGTGGCTATGGCCAAGCAGCTAACGTCCCTGGGCGTCCCTGTTACCGCACTTGAGGTGCACTTCAAAGTCAACAATCTCACGCAGCGATATCGCCAGGAGCAGAAGACCTTCGAGACAACGGGCATAATCAGCACCTGGAAGTTTTACAGTCAAGTGGATGATGTTTTCAAGAGTCTGGCAGCTCACACGGGTTACAAGTAAATAAGTAATGCAAATCCCATGGAAGGGATATAATGACTAATGGAAACTAATGCGAATCTGATCTTCCACAGAGACAAACGCATGACTAGTGCCTCGAATACTAGTAGCCTACCATCCACATCCGAGTCACCAGTTTGGAAGAATCCAATGTCTCAGCAAGAGTTTAATAGCAACAACACGGAGGGGTTCTATAAGTGAGTACTCCTTACACTCTATTCTTTATTCTGTTCCGAAGCTTATACTGATCTCCCTATCTGTTCTATTGCAGGACCGAGTACGGCATGCATCGCCACTTTATGGACCACTCCCAGCCACCGCCGAACACGGGCAGCGTGGACAACTTCATGACCTCCTCGGCGGCCGTGGCGGCGGTGGCTGCCGCTGCATCCGCTCGCCTCGCGGACAACAACATGGAGCAGCAGATGAATGCTGCGGGCGGCAGTGGGGCCAGCGGTGGGGGCAACACCAACGGCGGTGTGGCCAACTACAACAAGATCAAAAAATCGCACGAGGACTACGACAAGTTCGTGGACATTGTGAAGAACATCGTGGACACGCACAAGAGCACACCCGACAAGGTGGACACGTTCAGCGACTTCATCAAGTCGTATATGAAGCGCTGGCCGGAGCGGCTCCAGGACGAGGCCATCAATCACATCACCAACTACGTCATTGTCAAGAATATGGAGCACAGCATGGTCAGCGGCGGCGGCGGCGTCCACAATCCGGAGGGGGTCAACAACCGACAATAACAATACAAGCAGGAGCCCAACAACTAAACGCAGCCAAGGTCAGTGCAGATAGTTGTTGGACGGCCGCCCATCAGCCCACGCGGTCGGTCGTAGGCGGCCGTAGCAGCAGCTCCAGGAACTCCAACCCAACTATGAAACCGCAGTACGCAACAGTACAAGAGACACGAGGAGCAGGGCGATGATTACTTAACACGCAGGTGGCACGGCACGGCAGTTACTTAACGGCTACCTACCCCCATGCCGGCATGCCGCTAGATCGGCTGGATGGTCTGGTTTATATTGGAGCGATGTGTTTTTTGGAACGAAACATGGCATACAGTATTTTTTGTATAGTTAAAATATACAATCGGAGTTTTTAGTTTACTTTTCTGTGCGATTTCGATACCGAATTGAGTTCGGAATTGACTCGTGTGCGGAAGGGCCAGGCCAGAACAGGACTTGGACTGGGACTGGGACTCCATCTCAATCGTACATAGCGAGATCAGATCCTAGCGAGTACTTTTACGTTTAGACATCATTTCCTACTGTTAGCTGTAAACTATTATACATATATAAATATATAAATTACAAATTAATAAATGCTTTAACTACTAACGATCTGTGCAGCGGGTACGGGCCTGTGTCTTCAAATACGTTGGATTTGACAGGCTACGCTGTTGAACAAGCTCGCGGCCTTGCCCGTGGCCGTAGGGGCTGTGGGCGCAACCAAGAAGCGGGCAAAGGTGCCGCCCTTCTTGTCCGACAGCCGTCCGGGATTGATTACTAGGCAATCGCTAACCAGCCGGATGAAGTGCCTCTGGTCGCCGGGCAGCAGGAGGACATTGGGCAGTTGCCGCAGCTGGGCGTACTTCAGTGCCAGCTGCGTATCGTAGGACATGTCCTCGTCCCCCGGCGGGTAAATGGGATAGAAGGATCCCTGATTGAACAGGTGGTTGATTGCCCGATGCATCCGCTCGCCGGCATTCGCCGCAAACTCGTGGCTGAGCAAATGGTCCACGACGTCGGTGGAGGTGACGCCCAGCGTGATCCCGTCCAGGTCCACCATCGAGGGGTCGGGCAGCAGGTGCAGATTAGGGTATGTCTTGCGTAGAGCAGGCGGCGGGGTGGGGTAGACCGTATGAGACATGGCATCCTTCTGGCTGCTGATCATCAAGACTGTCGTGTGACCTCCAACCACGTCCATGATGCCCGAAACCATCTTCTCGAAGAACGAGTCGAAGGTCTCTGCCATTTCGGCGACGAGTTTGTGATCCGCGTCCACAAAGGGACCCACCAGAACGAGGACATCCGGTCTGTGGTCCTTCAGGTACTTGAGAAGATCGTGCAGGGGATCGTAGAACAAGTCCGTACTGTGTGTATAGGGACCGGCGGCCACCACGAACTGCAGCTCTCTGTCCACCTTCAATGGCGAGGGCGGCGTCAGCTTCCGCTCGGTGTGGATCTCCTCCACCACAAAGGAGTTGCCTTTGGGTATGAATCCCTTCGCCAGCACCACCTGGCCCGGAAAGATGCTGGCCGACTTGATACGCGTGAAGTTCAAATCCAGAAAGCTGCTTTCCTCTCCATCTGTAACGGCCAGAAAGGCCGAGTGGGCGTCCAGGGGGCCATCGTCCTCGGAATGTATCATGCCAACGGCATAGAGCATGTGCAGCGCCTGCAGCGTCTGCCCGTCCTGTGGATACCAGCTGCAGTCGGCCGCTCCCTCCGCACCGAGCTTCTTCTCCACCAGCGCTCGCCCCGTTTCCTCCAGCCGGTCGTACAGATTATCACACTTATCGCTAAGCAGGTCGTTCATGTAGCCCAGGTTGCTGAGCGTCAGCGGAGCCTCCTGGTGCAGTAATCTCTGCGACACGGGCAGGGAATGCTCCAGCTTGGCTTGCCACGTGGTTCCGGCCAGCAGTTTGGGGTGTCCGAAGGTGTCCACAATGTCTCCTGGTCGTCCGGCCACTGTTGTCGTCGATGGTGTTCCCGTTCCTGCCGCTGGGGTACGTTTGGCCGACTGCGGTGTGTAGCTGGCGGGACTGAAGAGAACGCCGCCCTTGAGGGCAGAGGAGCGTGACGGATCCTTCTTGGACTTAGGCGTGTGCATCATCGAAGAGTCTGTCAACGACTCGATACCATAGTCGTACGTCATGGGATCATCCTCGATGACGCCATAAGTAGAGAGAGAGCTCGTGGCGACCACAGGAGCTGGGGAATACGTTTTCTGTGTGGATGTCTTGAAGCCCACCTTGTCCTTCTTCAGCTGGAGTACCTTGCGCTCGAACTCGCCAAGATTCTCGGGCGTTGGATCCTCCCCGTGCAGATGGGACAAGCTGAAGGCCATCCACTGCTCCACGAACTCAGTGGCATCCTCAATGCTGTACGTGATGGCCAGTTCCATGCACTTGTCCAGCACCGCTTCGCTGGGCTCCACGCCTATCTCGTCGAATTGCTGCTTTATTTCCGTGTCCATTTTTATTTTGTTTCGCGTGTTGTTTTATAGAATTTTTTTTGTAGAAATATATTTTTGGCGGCAAAAAAAACCGATAGATTGCTATTGCCGCTTCATTCGATAGCTCTAAATGTTTTGTATGCATCTATGGTTAGTTTTATATTTCTATCGAGAAATTACCATCACCACGCGAACAGCTGTTTACAATTTGTAATTGTTTTGTTGTTTATCCCGTGAACTAAGTGCATTTAAAAAAAGTATAGCTGATCCTTCGGCTAGTTAATTGTAAAAAAGTGCTTTTTAAAGTGGTGCAGTGCAGTGTATGTAAGAGGGTGAAATGAGCACGGACGATTTGCTGGTTGTTCGCCATGATAGAAGCTACGACTCCTCGCCAACTGCGTCGCCAACAACGCCTCCGCCCCCAACGGGAGCCGAACCAGCGCCTGCGCCCAGCTCTTCATTTGATCGCCTGCGCAACACCTTTCGACGAACGGAGAGTATATCCTCGCAGATCTTCAGCCACATCTCGACTCAGTTTACGAACGCTGCGGCAGCGGCGGCTGCCTCTGAAGTGATTGATGGCACGACTCCCTATTCTGGGGAGACTACAGCACCAACTACTCCGCCAGCCACTGCTCCTGCGGCCAATACTACTGAAGCGGTAGCCTCTCCATCACCATCCAAAATAATCTCGAAAAGAGCAAAGCGTGGTAAGTTTTAGTTTAGATTATAAAGTTAGTTCGTACTTGTATACGATTTAAAAAGGCCATTGTAGAAAATTTATTCGTCAATGGGATAAAATTAAGTGGGCAGGACTGAAAGATCTATATATCTTGTAATATTCGACGGAAGATATATTTGGCAATAACCGGTACACAACAATGAGTCCCATTCCATACATGTTGCTAATACCCTGGGAAATGGATATTATAGAATTGAGAAAATGCTATCCCAGGCTCCAAGGCAAAAGCAATTTAGTCCCAACTTCCACACTGCGCGGTCGCTGCGCGTTACTGAACGGAAAAATAAGTGTTTAACTGGGCAAAGCTGAGAAATCTACATATATACATAGCTAGTAATATTTGACGGAAGATCAAAAACTAGTATTTATTGGTAATAACCGTTTGACGACAATGCTAATTCACGCAAAATTTTTCTGTGCATACCCTGGGGGAAATGGATGTTATAGAATTGAGAAAAGCTTTTTCATCCCAGGCTCCAAAGAAGGCTTTTTCTTGTTATTCTTGATTTTTATTGAATAATTATTATTATAATTGTTATTCTTGATTTTTATTAAATAATTGTTATTATAATTGTTATTCTTGATTTTTATCGAATAACTATTATTATAATTGTTATTCTTGATTTTTATTGAATAACTATTATTATAATTGTTATTCTTGATTTTTATCGAATAACTATTATTATAATTGTTATTATTGATTTTTATTGAATAACTATTATTATAATTGTTATTCTTGATTTTTATTGAATAATTGTTATTCTTGATTTTTATAGAATAACTGTTATTATAATTGTTATTCTTGATTTTTATCGAATAACTATTATTATAATTGTTATTCTTGATTTTTATTGAATAATTGTTATTATTGATTTTTATTGAATAACTATTATTATAATTGTTATTCTTGATTTTTATAGAATAACTGTTATTATAATTGTTATTCTTGATTTTTATCGAATAACTATTATTATAATTGTTATTCTTGATTTTTATTGAATAATTGTTATTCTTGATTTTTATAGAATAACTGTTATTATAATTGTTATTCTTGATTTTTATCGAATAACTATTATTATAATTGTTATTCTTGATTTTTATTGAATAATTGTTATTATAATTGTTATTCTTGATTTTTATTGAATAATTATTATTATAATTGTTATTCTTGATTTTTATAGAATAACTGTTATTATAATTGTTATTCTTGATTTTTATCGAATAACTATTATTATAATTGTTATTCTTGATTTTTATTGAATAATTGTTATTATAATTGTTATTCTTGATTTTTATTGAATAATTGTTATTATAATTGTTATTCTTGATTTTTATTGAATAATTGTTATTATAATTGTTATTCCTGATTTTTATTGAATAATTGTTATTATAATTGTTATTCTTGATTTTTATCGAATAACTATTATTATAATTCTTATTCTTGATTTTTATTGAATAATTGTTATTCTTGATTTTTATAGAATAACTGTTATTATAATTGTTATTCTTGATTTTTATCGAATAACTATTATTATAATTGTTATTCTTGATTTTTATTGAATAATTGTTATTATAATTGTTATTCTTGATTTTTATTGAATAATTATTATTATAATTGTTATTCTTGATTTTTATAGAATAACTGTTATTATAATTGTTATTCTTGATTTTTATCGAATAACTATTATTATAATTGTTATTCTTGATTTTTATTGAATAATTGTTATTATAATTGTTATTCTTGATTTTTATTGAATAATTGTTATTATAATTGTTATTCTTGATTTTTATTGAATAATTGTTATTATAATTGTTATTCCTGATTTTTATTGAATAATTGTTATTATAATTGTTATTCTTGATTTTTATCGAATAACTATTATTATAATTCTTATTCTTGATTTTTATTGAATAATTGTTATTCTTGATTTTTATTGAATAATTATTATTATAATTGTTATTCTTGATTTTTATTAAATAATTGTTATTATAATTGTTATTCTTGATTTTTATCGAATAACTATTTTTATAATTGTTATTCTTGATTTTTATTGAATAACTATTATTATAATTGTTATTCTTGATTTTTATCGAATAACTATTATTATAATTGTTATTATTGATTTTTATTGAATAACTATTATTATAATTGTTATTCTTGATTTTTATTGAATAATTGTTATTATAATTGTTATTCTTGATTTTTATTGAATAATTGTTATTATAATTGTTATTCTTGATTTTTATCGAATAACTATTATTATAATTGTTATTCTTGATTTTTATTGAATAATTGTTATTATAATTGTTATTCTTGATTTTTATTGAATAATTATTATTATAATTGTTATTCTTGATTTTTATAGAATAACTGTTATTATAATTGTTATTCTTGATTTTTATCGAATAGCTATTATTATAATTGTTATTCTTGATTTTTATTGAATAATTGTTATTATAATTGTTATTCTTGATTTTTATTGAATAATTGTTATTATAATTGTTATTCTTGATTTTTATCGAATAACTATTATTATAATTGTTATTCTTGATTTTTATTGAATAATTGTTATTCTTGATTTTTATAGAATAACTGTTATTATAATTGTTATTCTTGATTTTTATCGAATAACTATTATTATAATTGTTATTCTTGATTTTTATTGAATAATTGTTATTATAATTGTTATTCTTGATTTTTATTGAATAATTATTATTATAATTGTTATTCTTGATTTTTATAGAATAACTGTTATTATAATTGTTATTCTTGATTTTTATCGAATAACTATTATTATAATTGTTATTCTTGATTTTTATTGAATAATTGTTATTCTTGATTTTTATAGAATAACTGTTATTATAATTGTTATTCTTGATTTTTATTGAATAATTGTTATTATAATTGTTATTCTTGATTTTTATTGAATAATTATTATTATAATTGTTATTCTTGATTTTTATAGAATAACTGTTATTATAATTGTTATTCTTGATTTTTATCGAATAACTATTATTATAATTGTTATTCTTGATTTTTATTGAATAATTGTTATTATAATTGTTATTCTTGATTTTTATGGAATAATTGTTATTATAATTGTTATTCTTGATTTTTATCGAATAACTATTATTATAATTGTTATTCTTGATTTTTATTGAATAATTGTTATTATAATTGTTATTCTTGATTTTTATTTAATAATTGTTATTCTTGATTTTTATTGAATAATTATTATTATATTTGTTATTCTTGATTTTTATTGTATAATTCTTATTATAATTATTATTTTTGATGTTTATTGAATAATGATTATTTCTGTTTTTTTTTTGTAATTTTTTTTTATGTTTGTCATCCCAGGATCCAATTAAAGCAAAATAGTCCCTGTTTTAAACCTATTTCAACGATATTTCTTGATATTTCTTCTTCATCGTCTTTTTACGTTGTCCAAGAATATGTACATATAAGGATATATATAAATACAAGATAATAATCATATGCATGCACATGTCTAAAACATATCAATTTGATAACAAATCTTTATTAATTACGTTTTAAAAACAGTTTGAAAAACAGGATTTTCATATTCAATTTTCGAAATAGGGTATACAAAGGCCTATACTACGGCTTACACGCCACATTGGGAATGTTTTTTGTTGAACTATTTTTTTTAAACCTTGTCTTAGTCAAAATACAAAGCAAGGACTAAAAACTAGCCAATCTTGAAGAAAATGTATTCATCAATGGCATAAAATTATGTGTGCGGAACTAAGGGTTTTAGTTAGTCAGCATTATTCGACGGAATATCAAAATCGAGCAATTGGAACGATACTCGTTCGTTTTATTACGTTCTACTCGTTCGTCCTTTTTCGCAAAAAAACTTTTTTGTTTGACCTATTTCGCTAAAACCTTTTTTTACGCAAAACGCAATAAAAGCAAGTATTTAAAATAAACCAGTAAAGTAGAAAATATAATCATTAATTGGATAAAATTAGCTAATATTCGACAGAATATTATGTATAATAGAACTTGAACTCGTCAGTATATTAACAGTATATTTTTAAAATGAGACGGTATGTTTCGGTATATCTCTGAGGGTAGGACGGTATATTTTATCGTCACTTTTGTCATAACGGTATATCTAAAGTGACGGCGTAAAATTGCAATTGTTCAGAGTTTAATTTAATAAAAGAAGCCATTTGATCAGTGGTTTCCACCGCAAAGACACATCACACAAAAGGTAAAAACAATTGCAAGCGTTTTCCCCCGGAAGCAGTAGCAGCAGGAAGAAAAGAGTGCTGCCTGGCTGTGCTGTGCGGGGGGGAAATGTGTTTGGCAGCTTTGAGATGTTGCAACTTCTCCTAATGTCGATATGTATATGTATTTTTATGGCTACACACTCACACCCACGCGAACGAACCCATGCAGCAGGCCCTAAATCGAAGCCTGAATAAAAAAAAAATGCGCGGACTCGTCGAGGATACGAAAAGGACAAAATTGTCCCAGAACAACAATAATAATGTGGCCACCAGTGCGACCAGTGGAAGTCGTCTCAAGTCATCCTCGACGGCAGCCATGTCGAGTGCCAGCAGCACGTCCGCCAAGCCCTTGAGGAGTGTCGTTAAAACGCCAACGACAACGACGTCATCGGTAGGACTGGGACTGAGCGGAGGAGCCAAGAAAACGTCACAGAGTATGCAGCAACAGCAACAAAAACAACACGAAGTTGGCAAGTCCGCCAAGTCGTCATCAGGGGCAGCAAGTGCCACAGCAAGGGCGGCAACAACCGCACAGCCAATTGCAAAAACACAAAAGGGTCAGAATCCACCCCCACAAATGCATCCCCAGTCGTCGTCGTCGTCGAAGGCGCCACAGAAAGAGGCACAACCACAGCAGCAACAGCCGCAGCCGCAACCGCCGGCACAGGCTGTACCACTTCAGCCGAGCAACAACAGCAGCAACAGCACGACAATCGCCCTGCCCAAGGCCTCGCATGCCAACCACACTAACGAGGAGCTGGCCAACGGCGTGCAGGACACCATTTACCTGTGCAACTTTCGTGTATCCGTGGACGGCGAGTGGCTGTGCCTGAAGGAGCTGCAGGATATCGATGTGGCCGGCGGTCAGCAGGCAGGCGGAGGCGTCGGCGCCAACCAGCCACACACTGGAAACTCCAGCTCCGGCCACGGTACTGCTGGGACACATGCCAGTGGCAGTGGCTCCCAGTTTGGGAAGCGGAACAGCAAACGCTTCTCCGGATTGTCAGCGGCCGGAAGTGCTGCCGCGGCTCTCGAGGATAATGGTATTATGGCACTTGAAAATCTAATCGGTCGTCGTCTGTGCGACATGGTCGGCTCCAATGCACTCAATGCCTCCCAGTCGCACTCCCAGACGCAGTCGCAGCACAAGAATGTGGGCCTCTTCGCAGAGTGGTCGCATCTCTGTAGGTTGCTTCTTTCTGTTGCTTCTTCTGTTGCATCTTCTGTTTGCCAGTTTATACCTTACCTTAAACCTTATTCTTTGTAGCTTGTTGCTTTCTCTTCTCATTTTTTTGTTGTCTCAGATATCAGCCATCTATCTGGTTCTGGTTCTGATTCTGGCTCTCGATTGATATTGATTTTGGCATGTTACTCTGCACTTACGAGTATGTTGCACCTTCTTTCCTTTGCTTGCACTCAACATAGTTTAATGGGGAAATATATTGCAGGAGACTAGACGAACGAATAGATGGCTGGGATCGTTCTTTACCCTTTTCTACCGCTTTATAGCTATAGATTCTGATTCTTTCGATGATTTAAAGTTAAAAGAGTTGCAAAGCGTCCCATTCTGATATCCCACGTCCAAGCATCACTACCGTTCCGTTTCAGTGTCATTCGAAACGAATGTATCCGTTCGCTTATGGGAAACTTCTACGCTTTGCGTCGAATATTGGCCCACACAACAGGAATAGTTAACTCAACTCAATTTAATTCGTAAAACAGAAACGAAAATCAAAAAAATCTAAATTTGAAAATCAGATGGAACTTCCTTCTACGATGCTTGAATCCTCAAAAACCGTCTCCCATCCTGGCGAGTCCTTCGGTGGCTGTGGGGTTTTTCAATTAATTTGAAGTATCCTCACACGATCTCAGTCTGACCATTCGCTTACACCCCTAACATCATAGCCTCCTCCTGATAGCCGTTTCTCCGTGGGCTCTGCTTTCGGATCGGACTTCTTGCTGGGCTTTCGTCGCTCATCCTGGCCCGTGTCGGTCTCTGTGGGGGATAACAAGGGGGTAATTCGGTGGGAATTGGTATTCCGTAAATAGGGAAAATCTCACCCAACTTTTTTTCTTTTCTTTTGCTCTTCTCCGGAGGTTTCTCCTTTCGTTTGGTCTCCGTTGGTTCCTTCTCACACCGGTCCTCCCTACACCGCCTGGACGGCTTCTGCTTCTCGGGTTCCTTCTCATGTTTTTCGGTCTGCTTGAAGCCCTCACATCGCTCCTTGTCACACCGCCTGGCCACCTTCTGCTTCTCCGGGGCCCTGTCCGTGCGCTCAGTTTCTGTGGTATTGGTTCGATACGACTCCAGTGTGGGCATTGTGTATCTTCCCTGATCCAGTGCCTCCTCCTTGCCGGCAGGAGGAGGTTTTCTTCTGGGCGAGGGACCTGGGGTAGCTGTATCCGATTGCAGCTCGGAGTCGTCAGTGTCTAGGGGATGGAACGCTTGAACGACCTTTTGCTTGGCCAATTTGGTGGTGGGCTGGCGCTTCTTCTTGGGGTAGTACTGGTCCGGGGAGCTGCGGGAGAACTTCACGGGCAGGCACTTTCTGTTGAACTGGCAGGCCAGCGAGGAGGTGGAGGTGTGCGACTCATCGAGGAACCTTCGGAAGTCTGCCAAAAGAAGAGAAAACAAAGGAAGAGAATAGATAGGGATCGCATCTATGGATCTTACCATTGTCATTGCCTTGGGGGGACTTTTCCGATTGACTGATCTCAATGGGCGACGAGTAGTAGGATCCGTGGATGGCCATTCTCCGGGGCATCGAGGGGTTCGAGTCGACGGCTATTTTCGTACTTTTCGGATCTTGCACTGCCGGCACTCTCTTGCGGTTGGGCCTCGGGGTGATCTGCGGCTTGCGACCCTTCTTCATGCAGCAGTAGATGAGCAGCAAAAGGAATAGCAAGAGCAGGAACAGAAACAGAGCCAACCATGCCACGAATGCGGCTGAGGGATCATCATCGCACTCCCGGCACTCTTCTCCATCCTTGTTGTAGTGTTTCTCCGCTTTATCTTCCTCCTGCTTTTTGGTGTTCGGGGAACGACTCTGCTTGCGGCAGTTGTCTCCTGTCCCAGCCCCAGCTCCTGCGACTGCCACTCTTCCGGTGTCCGTGACATCATCCGTTGTTTGCTGATAGCCTCTGAAACACTGCTCCTCCTCGCACTCGCCCTCGCCCTCGCCTACAGGCTGTTTCGCTTTGCCCTGGTCTTCGATCTTGAGCATCTCGTAGACCTGCAGGACGCCGCCCAGTCCGGGATAGAAGACCTCGTCCCTGTAGTGCAGCTGCAGGCTCTCGCGGATCCAGTTGCGCAGCTTCCTGTTGTACGTCCTCTGGCACATGCCCTGGAAGCGGTAGCATTGGGTCACCGTCTGGAAGAACTTCACCAGTACGAAGGCCGACTGTGGGGAGCGCAGGTTGTAGATGCGTCGCTGCTTCAGCGGCAGGTAAATGAGGGTGAGGTGCCCGTGCCCATCGACGGCCTCCAGGCGGGGCAGCGGGACGATCATCTGGTCGTTCTGCGCCTCCTTGCAGCCGGAGCTCTGCTCGAGCAGCGCACAGCTGAGCGCGTCATCGTCCCCCTCCTTCGGGGCAGCGGGCAGACTCACGGGTCTGATTCGAACGCTCTTCAGCTGGCTGAGAACGTCCACCATGGGCGTCCGCCAGCCATTGCCGTTGGTGTTCAGCACGATCCGGCACTGCTGGTAGAGGCTTACCAGCCGCTCCGTCGTGTTCAGCTTGAGGCGGCCGGCGTAGAAGGAGATCTGGGCCACCGGCACCAGGTAGTAGCGCAGGTATCCCCCCAGCGCATCGTAGTAGGCCCGCTGCAGCACCATCCTCGCCTCGTCCTTGGCCTTGCTCTTGACGATCCGGTTGACCGTGTGGAAGTACTTCATCAGCATCTGGACGACGCTGTCGCAGAGCAGGCTGCTGGGGAAGGACTTGGGCAGCAGCGACTCAAAGTCCCTGCGGGCGGCTATCAGGGCGATCTCCTCCGCGGAGAAGCACTTCCTCGTGCTGCTGCCGAACAGATTGGTGCCGAGGAAGAGCTCTTTCGCATTGTTGTTGGCGGCCCTGTGGGATACCTCTGGCAGGAGTTCCTCCCTGGGTGCCACTCGGGGTCTTTTGCCTCTGTGCCTGCCGGGAGGGTCATCCGGGACGGATCTCTGGTTGTCGTTCAGGTCGTTCCGCGACTGCTCCAGCTCCGAATTGAGCATGGACTGGAGCGTGAGCTCGTCCTGGAAGTCATTTGGCACCTCCAGCGTGGAGAGGTCGATGCTGTACATGGGACAACCTCCCGGCGTCAGGAAAAACACCAACGCGAGCAGCACATGAATGTTCATTACTAGTTGTCATTCCAGTTGTCAAAGTTTGACGCAAATCCCTTTCGAAACGCCTACTAGCTGGCTGTAGCTTTAGCCATAGTCCTAAATCCCTAATCCGTAGTCTCGTTGCTTCGCTGCACCTCAGAATCCACGACTCAGAATCCACTTTGCCTTGTGGCCTTTGCCTGTTCTTGCAGCGCGCGACACCGCGGAGATCGAGCGGAGTAACTTGGTGAACATCTGCAAGCTGGTCGTCAAGGAGCTGCTGGAGCAGTCGCTGCGCTATGGTCGGATGCTGGACTCGGACCATCTGCCGCTGCAGCACTTCTTCATCGTGATCGAGCACGTGCTGGGCCATGGGCTGCGGCCAAAGAAGGGCCTGCTCGGACCCAGGAAGGAGCTGTGGGACCTGCTGCAGAGCGTCGAGCACTACTGCCCCGAGGCGCAGGACATTACGGCCAGTGTGCGGGACCTTCCCACTGTTCGCACGCACATCGGACGGGCACGGGCCTGGCTGCGGATCGCCCTCATGCAGAAGAAGCTGTCGGACTACCTCCAGGCGCTGATCGAGCACCGCGAGGACTCGCTCTACGACTACTACGAGCCGCATGCCCTGATGATGAGCGACGAGGTGAAATCCACACTCTAGATCCGTAGTCCTGTTCAGGATAATCTTATCCTCTCCTCTGTCAGATCGTTGTGATAATGGGCATTCTGGTGGGACTGAATGTGATCGACTGCAATCTGTGCGTGAAGGAGGAGGACCTGGACTCGCAGCAGGGCGTCATCGACTTCTCCCTGTACCTGCGCTCCAGTTCACGCAGTCCCGATGTCCCCGACGACAGTGCTCCGCCTGCGCTGCTGGATGCCACCGGACAGGGCAACATGATAGCCGTGCTCGACCAGAAGAACTACATCGAGGAGCTGAATCGTCATCTAAAGTGGGTTCCCAGCAGTCGCAAACCTTAGCCCTACCCCCTCTCAACTTCCCCCTCTTACAGTGCCACCGTTGGCAATCTGCAGGCCAAGGTCGAGTCGCTGACCACCACCAATGCTTTAATGAAGGAGGATCTGGCCATTGCACGCAACAGTCTGCTGGCTCTGCAGGCCGAGAACCAGGCCATGCGCCAGTCCAGCCAAACGCAGCAGCAGCAGCAGAAGGACTCGGACAACAGCTCTGGCAGTGGCTCCGAAAAGGAAAAGACCGAAGGGGTAAGCACGGATCTGTCTGAGGAGCGGCGCAAGAACGGCGAGCTGGAGAAGGAGCTGAAGCTGCAGGTGTCTCTGAAGGCAGAGTCGGACATGGCAATGAAGCTGCTGGAGAAGGACATACACGAGAAGCAGGACACGATAGTCTCGCTGCGCCGCCAGCTGGACGACATCAAGCAGATCAACCTGGAGATGTATCGCAAGCTACAGGTGAGTATTTTCACGAGACAGAACCGAGACACACCACACAACACTCATCTTTCCACATTCATCCTCCCATCATCTGGTCGCTAGAGTTTTGGTTTTTCTCTGTTTGGTTCTCTTTGGTTTCAGTTGATTTATGATTTAGTCAAGCATATCCCTGCAATCGAATCGGTTTAAGCTTATCAATTCTGAAAAGAAATCCAAAGTCAAATGTACTCCTCCCTCGTTTTGCCACCAATTTAACCAGGAATGTGAAGATGAACTCACACAGAAGGGCGAGATGGTCTCGCGCTTGCAAACGAAAGCCTCACAAATTGGTAACATTTTACAATCGCTAGAAAAGAAGTACGAGTCGAAGCTGAACGATCAGCACGGAGCAGGAGGAGGAGGAGGAGGAGGAAGCGTATTCGGAGGAGGAGCCAACGCCGGGGACCGTTCGCCCAGCACCAGACGCCAGCAGAATCTGGAGAAGTTCGAGGCCCTCACCAAGAAGCACAAACACGACGCCGGGCCACCCATGAAGCGGATGCACCTCAAAATGGATGCCTTTCCGCCGTTCGATCCCAACAAGTATCGCAAGTCCCCATCGAGTGCTGCAGCTGCTGTTGGAACCCAACCCCTGGAGCCCCTAGAGCCACAGGAAGCCCAAAGGAATGACCCAAAGACGCCCACATCCGCCAAGTCGCTCAACGATGAGCTGGCCGAGGCGGCAGCAGATATAACCCAACACTTCGGCGGCGATGGATCACGCAGCGACTACGCATTGTCCGGGATTGTGGAAAACGCCGCAGCGGGCGACTCTTAGACGCGTATTAATTGTAGATAAAGAAGAACAGAACCCCATTAATCTATGTATTGCGAGATATACTGCGCATAGTTGTTGCCTCCTTACTACTCCCATACTATATTTATGTATCCAAGGCCTTGGCGTGCACTCAAAGTCCATGTCCATGTACGGGTCCCTAGGCCCATGATAGTGTATAGGAAGCCTAGACAGAGTATGTGTAGACTTTGTTAAAGGTTTGATTAATAATATGCAACCTGATAGCTTAATTATCTGCCCACTCCCCCTGAGCCCCAAAGGAACCCCTGAGAGATGGAACAATCATAAATGATGTATGATGATATATGAAGAACAGAACGTATTTATGTATATATGTAAAAGAAGCTTCAGTTTCAGATTCAGATGAGAACTGTATACACGTACATATATACACTCAGAGAAAATTACACCCACAAAAATAGAGAAATCAAATCGTACTCGCTTTGATTTAAACAGAAATGTTTTAAATACGGCTCACATTTAATCTAAATATAAAACACTTCAAAATATATTTAGCCTAAATATGAAAATGTTTAATTTAACTTTGACATGTATTTATTTTAAATATGAAATACACTTAAATAAAATATTTTCATATTTATGACAAAATGTAAGTGAAAAAACTTTTGAAATCTATGTTCAAATATTAGAATGTCAGGTCTACTTTTTTCTCTGGGTGGTATGCATGGACATACTCGTATTGATACATGTATGCCCTGCCCAACAGCTGCGCCTATCGCTTATATTGTAATACTGAATGTATCCTTAACCTAGTCGAAGAATACACACAAGTATTGTAATTATAAATAAATGTAACTATAATCGTACGCCTTGAAAGCATCCTGCATATACTGCATATATATTCTACTCGTAATGTACTTTTACTTCTACTAAACCCAAAGAGAAACCCCAAGAAATAAACCTTAACCGACAGTCAGTCAGTCTTTCATTTGCCACCAAAATACTTCCTCTGAGATGGTCCCACGATGGTACAAACGCTTCTTCTCTCTCTCTCTCTATTCCCGTCGGCAGGACTGCAAGGCCTCGCTAACGCATAAAACGGAGCTGATGGACAAGCTAGAGGACCAAAAGGAGGACATGGCCAGCACGATTGAGCAGCTGGAGAAGAAGTAAGATCACTTACGGGTGGGGGTGGGGGCGTTCTCTCTGGTTCTCTCGTAGATGGTCAACATCATCGATGTTTTCTTTCCCTTCAACAGGTGGACCCATGACAAGAGCAACTTGGGCGAGATACTGAAGACCACGTCACAAACGCTGACAACCCAGGTCACGGCCAGCGAAGAGCGGGCTGCCCGGGCCGAGGCCGAGTCGCGCATTGAGCGCGAGTGGCGAATTTCGCTGCAGGAGAAGGAGATCAAGCTGAAGGAGAAGATAGCCACGCTTCAGGGTTGCCTCAAGGAGCTGGCCGAGGAGAAGGACAGGAATGAGAAGCTGAGGTTGGATTTGGAAAAGGCGCGTGCCCAGTGGGCCGAGGCGCAGACCACGCTGGAGGAGCTGGGCATCCAGTTGAGTGAGAGCAAGTTGAAGGTGTCGGAGATGCAGGACAACGAGAAACGACAACGCCAGCTGATGTCGGGATCCTCGCAGTCGCTGCAAACGATGCCGGAGAGCCTTAGCAGTCCCGGCATCTGGGCGCCCGACTCAATTGCCTCCCACTGCACAGGCTGCGAGCGAGAGTTCAATCTAACGCGACGCAAGCACCACTGCCGCAGCTGTGGGGAGATCTTCTGCAAGGCCTGCTCCGAGCACACGCTGCCACTGCTCAATGCCCAGGGGCAGCCGGGCAAACCGGTGCGAGTGTGCAATGCCTGCTATGCAGCAAAATAATGCAAATATTCACATATACATATATCTATAGATATCTAAGAATTATTGTAATTTGTATTTGTATGTAGTGGAAAAGAAATTGCCTGTGCGAAGCATTCCTAGCTGGCAACACACTGACGTTATACATTGAATTTTGTAATCCAATTATGTAAAACAATGCCGCCATTTGTGTGAATTGTTGAATAAATGTCTCAAAATATATTTCTGAGAATCTGTTCGCAGTTTGAATTTCCGTTTGTACAAGTGTACCCAACACTGCAGCCCTGGCCAATGATATATTTACGGTTTATTGGTATATAATGGAATCAATTACATCAACCTATAATCTCGGGATCGAGATATATATACACGAATCTAATCAAATAATTGAATAGGTCTATATATGGCAATCTTTGAACAAGACATTTTTAATTTTGTTTCAAAACAGCTTGGAAAATGGAAGGTTAACATTAATTAAATGAAATAGGGTATACAGATGTCCATACTCATAGCTGAAACCAATTAACCGGAAACAATTCCGTACACACTTGCAATTTGTGATTGTGACCTTTTTTGTTTAAAACTTATTTTACACAAAATCAAGCAAAAATGACTACTTAAAATTTGACAGCCATATAGATAGTTAGTTAATCGATCAAATAAAATTTTGTTTTCAGTGCTGAGAGTCCTGCCTAGCTAGTTATATCAAACTGAATATTAAAATTGAGGAATATGGTTTCCGATCAAGGGCAGCAAACTATTAACCCATTGTGAACCAGTGGGTATTCAAATACAGTCCACGAAAATGATTAAAAAACTTAAAGAGCTTTAGCGCAGTTAAGGTGAAAGATATCGTGCTAACTTTTTTATAATTTTTTATAAACTTTATAATTAAAAAAAAGGAAGTATATGATAGGATGGATCTAAAAGAATCTACGAAAAGTATTGTTTGTAGCCGTTTAACTCAAGCTTTTCACATGTTTAAATACAGGGGGGTTAAGTGGGTTAATCAACAAATCTGCGGTAACAAATGTTTTAGAATTTTAGCTGTTAAAAAATATGGTTTTACCACATGCACGTGCTGCGCTATAAACGATTTCAATGTGAAAAAGCCAAGTAGCGCGACCAGCCCATTGGTTAGTTAGCACAACTCCCCCCCCGCACTGCTGGCGGCGGCCGCTCTGGCATCGATTTTTATTCGTACCCGAATGCAGCGGAATTTTACAAAACTTTCCCACTCGAAGCACCCAAAGTAAAGCCAGTCGGATCGGAACAGAGCATTCAGAAGACGGACGGATATGAAAGAGAACGGACACATCACCCTTACGCTCTCGTCAGGGGCGGTAGCCAGCACGGATGAGCGGGGCCGAAAGAGTCTGCGGCGGGTAAGAGGCCATAAATGCCCCCCAACAAACAATGAATATTCATACTTATTTTGCATGGTCTAGGCTTGGAATCAGTTGCCGCGTTGTCAACGCAATCTCATTATACTCGGCGTAACGGCCTTTTGCGTAACGGTCTTGCTCTGTTTAACCGGCGACCAATTGATTGCCGCGAGCATCAAGGATGTCGAGGAGAAGGCCATAGCTTCCCCCTATCAGCTGCGACGCGAGATCCCACTGCAGAATCCCCACCACCATCCTGACAAGGATAAGGATCTGATCGCTGCTGCTGCTGCTGCTGCTGCCACACCGTCCGCATTAGATAGACGCCTGCCCAACCCAAACCCAGAGCCCGCTGATGATAAGGTAATTGTCTACTCTTCACTGATAAGTGCCTAATTGAGAGAACGACAGAACCCCTTTATGATAAGAACATAGCCTCATCTCCTTAATGACTTGAATTGGTTATTGGTGTCTGAAGTTTGATTAGGGGAAATGGGAGATTGTATAATGATAATTGACTGCTTTCAGTTTGATGGAAATATTGCCTATGGGGAAGCGAACTCGGCTGAGAATGTGGTTCGAGTGCCAGATACACCAGCTGTGGCACTGCCGGCGCTGCTGGACAAGACAGTGGACAACGACGGCAGCATCGATATACTGAACAATGTGGAGGAGCCCATCGAGCGTCTGCCCATTGAGCAGCTGGACGAACGCGAACAGCTCAACGAAGCCATACGGAGTCCCTTACACTTGGGCGGCATCAGCATTAAGCGCCACCTGAAGAAGATTCAGCCGCTCTTGGCCAAGGGGCAGCACTTCCATGGCGCCACAAACGAGCGACAATCCGCGGTAGTGGCTGCCTTCAAGCACTCCTGGGCCGGCTACCAGAAGTACGCCTGGGGTCACGACAACCTGAAGCCCGTCTCGCAGTTCTCCCACGAATGGTTCGGCCTGGGCCTGACTATTGTCGACGCTCTGGACACCATGTACATAATGGGGCTCGATGAGGGTGAGTGACCACTGATTTAATCATCCGATCTAAGATCTAAGCTGTTTGGTTCCCGCAGAGTTCAAGGAGGCTCGTGACTGGGTGGATCTTTCCCTGCGCTTCAGCACGAAGCGCGATGTGAATCTCTTTGAGGTGACAATACGTGTGCTGGGCGGTCTGCTGTCTGCATACCATTTGAGCGGCGACACGATGTTCCTCAGCAAGTCGGCGGAATTGGGTAATCGCCTGCTGCCGGCCTTCCTCTCGCCCTCGGGCATTCCCTATTCGGATGTGAATCTCGGCGACCTGTCCGCCCACTCGCCCAAATGGTCGCCAGACAGCTCCACCAGCGAGGTAACCACCGTCCAGCTGGAGTTCCGTGACCTGAGTAGGTCCACAAATATTTCCATTTATGAGAACGTAAGTCCAAACACCAGCATCTGCGTCTGTTCTCCCAAGCCCAAAAGCTAATAAGGCACATGCACATTTCAGGTCGTAAATAAGGTAAATGAGAAGGTCCACGATCTGGAGAAGACCGATGGACTGGTGCCCATATTCATCAACGCCAACACGGGCACCTTCCGCAACTATGCCACCATTTCGCTGGGAGCCCGTGGCGACTCCTACTACGAGTATCTGCTCAAGCAGTGGATTCAGACAGGCCGCAATGATAACGACAAGTGAGTAGAACAGTGGAGAAGGAGTTTATAGACCTATCACACTCGATTCGTTGCAGTCTCATTCTGGATTATATGCAGGCCATTGATGGGGTGCTCACGAAGCTGATGCGCCGCACCCCACGTGAGCACTGGGTGTACATTGGGGAGCTGATCAACGGCAAGGACTTCAAGCCCAAAATGGACCATCTGACGTGCTACTTGCCGGGCACCTTGATCCTGGGCCACCAGAACGGCATGCCCGACTCTCATCTGATACTCGCCAGAGATTTGCTGGACACCTGCTATCAGACGTACATGCAGCACCCCACCCATTTGGCGGCCGAGATATCGTACTTTGCACTGACGGACAAGGAGGAGCACGACATTTATGTGAAGCCAAACGACGCGCATAATCTGCTGAGGCCCGAGTTCATCGAGAGTCTGTATTACTTCTACGCGATCACTGGCAATCGCACATATCAGGACATGGGCTGGACCATCTTCCAGGCGTTCGAGACCCACGCGAAAGTGAATGCGGGTTATACATCGCTGGGGAACGTTCGGAATACGCAGAACACGCGCATGCGGGATCTGATGGAGAGCTTCTGGCTGAGCGAAACCCTCAAGTACTTCTATCTGCTGTTCAGCGACAATCGCAAGGAGATCGATCTGGACCAATGGGTCTTCAATTCGGAGGGTCATCCACTGCCAGTCTATCCGCCTAAGACATAAATAGCATCTAAGCACAAGACTACTAGAAGTTTGCGCAACAAAAAGCTGTGCATGTGAGCCGATTTGCGCAGCATTTAAGCTGCCACAACCGTATCGTACTTTAGCGCAAATGCCAAATACTATGCTAAGCTATGAAATGGCTAGACAGCCACAACTGGCCGCCTGGCTGTGTAGGGAGTAAGGTAATGCCCCCACATAAAAACCTATCACCACTATCATCAGAGCAGTCGATTCTGTATCATATTATTTGTTCTAATTTGATACCTGTTATTTCGTAATAATTTATTTCTCTCGTATAAGCACCTACCACTAATCTCTGGTTGGGGCAGGAGCCCTCTCTCATTAGTTGTAGCATCTTATCGCTGGTAGCAACGCCAATCGAATCAATCTGCAGGTCTTACATTTGTAATACCCCCCACCCCACTGTAATACCCTGTAGTCGAATATTATGTATGTATCTAGCAGTAGTACGTTTATGTTTGCAGAAATTTTAGCAACCGGCGGCACAAAGTCGATTTGTGTGTTCGAATATGTAGGAAAGGAGGCATGTGTGTAATGCAAGGATTGAATCTCACAGGAACTCGAATCCAAGTCCCCAAGTTATAAGCAGAGCCAACAATACATACGTGTTGAATAAAATGCAAATAGTTTTTAAAATTGTATGGAATTTTCTTTATTTTCCTAAGAACGTTGTCACCCAGTACAAACGCATGAAATGCATGAGCTTTGATTGCATTTTCCTTTCACTTTTAGCTGGGTTTTCTCTGATTTCTCTGTTACTTGTTGCGTTTCGTTTCGTTTCGTTTTCAGTGAGATTTTATGTTTGTTATCTCCCCGTTACTCAAAGAGCATAGGGATGATATATTAGTTTTCTTTATGAACTTAATGTTTATGACGACTATGAATGGATGGGCTTAATAAACTATGAAATATTAAACTGTTTTTACTTTCTTGTTTCTCTTTTTTTACTCTCTCTCCTTATGCCGATGATGCCTGGTTTTTCTTTCTATTAAAATCTTTAGTTTTCTCTTTATGTTTTACATTACATTTAGACACATTTTTAGCTGAACAATTCTTATGACGGGCGACGGGTGTCTGTTGTGGATGGGTGTCGGGTGTCGGATGTCGGGGGTAATCTGAGTTCTCTTGAGTCTTGTTCTAAATACAACTTAAAACAATTCGCATTAATAATCTAGCAATAGATTTAAATTTATTCAGTTTTTGAGGTTTTTCCAAACTTAAATTATTCTATTACATGTACATTTTTACACGAAAGTTATTTGTCTTTGAATAATAACTAGAAAGTGCCGGAACTTCTAGTTGAAGCAACACATAAGGGACACAAGGGATGGGGATGGGATGGGATCGTTAGGGGGTCATGGAGGCCCGAATATTGAAGCACATCTTAGATTAATGATACCTCTTGAAAGTTCCCTTACTGACTATACATACGTAATACAAGCATTTCCCTTCCATTCCATTCCATTCCATTCCCTTTCATTCCATTCCATTCCGTCCGTCTGGAAGTACGTATCATAGTAGGTGTTTTTTGTTTTTGTTTTGTTTTGTTTTGTTTTGGTGGTGGTATTAAAGTAGTAGTTAGTATTGTAATTGCTTGGAAACATTACAATTGCTTTGCTCTTTCATTAATTCGTTTTTGCTTTTTTGTTTTTGTTTTTTGTTTTTTTTTGTTTTTGGATAAACTTCGTAGTGTCTTACTGTGTTTAGACTTTTAATCGTAGTTATTAATTATGTTTTACAAGCTAATCAGACATCTATATTTAAAACGTGGCACAAATCACAAGTCAGATTTGTCGCAAGATCAAGATACAATTGATACGATTCGTTAAATTTCCATTTTGTTTGTTCCTCTCATCGATCCATCCGTTCCATTGAAGTGTAGAAGATAGTATTATTACATTATAGATTCAATAATTTATAAATGTTTAAACTAAATTGGCTAAAATTGTGATTTTTGAACTGCTTTTGGTTTGCTTCGTAGTTGCCAGAGCTGCTGTACGGTTTGCTCGTGCTTAAATCCCTAAGATCTTTCCATAGCATTGCCGAAATATATCCCTCCTCCTGCTCGTCATTCTCCCGACTGACTCTTCATTTCATTCAAATTGAGCACACGTCCATAGGTTTGTTTCTTGATTCGTTTGTAATATCAGAAGCAGCCATATGGAAAGTAAAGCGCTTTACGTATCTGCTATCTGCTATCTGCTATCTTCCTGTTAAAATTCCTATCAACTTATATTCCATTCCTGAAACTGCTCAAACTATATACACAATCTCTTTAGTAATACTCGTACATAAGGGAAGGATCTATCTTCTGGTGTGGTTGATTGATTTGATTGCTCCTCCGCCTCTCTTCCTCTCTCCCTATATGAACACGTGCATTGGCGACATTTTCGATTTCAATTGTTCCACAGAATTGCTTCAAGTTCAACTTAATTACGGAATTAATTATACAACCAATTCGTTATGTTTTCTTTCCATTTCTTTGCGCGTATCCGTTACCTTCTTGGTTCTTCGTTCACTCTTCTCCCATTTCTCTTTGTTTTATATGAATATAAATTGTCTAGTGTAACTATATAATTTATTATATTAGGGGGTGTTCCGTGAGAGCATTGTATGCTATTCGTCGTTTAGTTTGCATTTCAATTCGCCGCGTCAATTGCTTTCCTTTCACTTCCTTCTTTCTTGGCCATCTATTTGGGTATTCTTTTCTTTCACTTTCCCTTTTCCTTCCTCTCGTTTCTTTAAGTAACCAATAATAAGCAGCGAGTGGTTCAGAATTTGTACAAAAAATATTGGACTAAAAAATACAAACAGAATAAGTATAAAACAATTTAGGCTAAAATTTGTAAGCTTATGGTCTAAAATAAATGGGGAAAAAACACGAAACAAATTTAAAATTTCTTTTTTTTTTTTTTTTTGGTGGGGGGGGGGGGTTTGAGGGGCGTTTTTTTCTATACAATCATCAAGTCGCTGTCAGCCCACGCTCACAAGGTGGTGGCATTGAACTCAAGAATCAGGCTGTTGGCCAGCTCCGCCGCCGATGTCGGGGCAGCCGCTCCGCCTCCACCGGCGGTTGAGGTGAGTCCAAGTCAAGAGGTCATTATCGACTTGACGGGGTCGTCCAGGCCAGCGGCCACGCAGCTAAAGTCATTCAGCTGCCCCACCAAGTGCTGGGAGGGTGCCTGTCCGATGCTCTGGTGGTGCTGGTGCTGCAGATGCGGCGGCTGGACAACGCTGTGGCTCTGCATCTGCAGCTGGTGATGATGCTCCAGCAGGATGTTGCTGCTGTTGTCCGCCACGGCATTGGCCGCCGATCCCCCGCCGCTGATCAGGCAGTCGTTCATCTCCTCGCCGAGCTGCCGGCGACGCTGATGGGCCAGCTGCAGCTGCTCCTGCTGGCAGCTCGGCAGATTGGCCTGGCCTCCCTGCCGCTGGTCCTCCAGCATGCTGTCGCCCAGGATCGAGCCCAGAGAGAACTGCAGCGAGTCGGCGCTGTTCTGCAGGTTCAGTATGCTGTCAATGGCACTGGCCACATGCCGGCTAATGTCGTCGTCGTACTCCCCCGTCACCACGGGCTGTCCCCCCAAGTGGTTCACGTGCATTTGCTGGGGATGCTGTTGCTGCTGCTGCAGCTGCTGTTGCATGCTGTGCTGGTAATGCTGCTGCTGTTGCTGGGTGTTCATCATGCTAGCGTAGGCCTGATGATTGGCAAAGTTGTGTGGCGGCTGTTGTTGCTGTTGCGGCTGCTGCTGCAGCATCTGGGAGAAGCCTGCGGGCCCGTTGGCCGGCTCCACTCCCATGCCGTCGTGCAGCAGCATCTCCGGATCGAGAAGGCCGTGCGGCGGCACCACGAGCTGTTGCTGCTGCTGCGAGGACATGGGCGACGACGACGAGGAGGAGCCCGTGCACAGCCGCTTGCTGCTGTTGTCGTCTTCCAGCTCGCTGCTGGAGCCCATCATCTGGCTGTCCCAGTGCCGCTTGCGCGACTCTCCCCCGTTCACGAGCATCGCCCCCTGGGCGCCGGGTCCGTCGCCGTTGCTGGTGCTGGACATGAAGTCGCTGTAGTGGGCCTCCATGCTCTGCATCCACCTCGGATTATTGTTGCAATTCAGTTCGATGTGATGCTGCTGCTGCTGCTGCTGCGATGGTTGCTGTTGCTGTGGTCCTGCATACTGCTGCTGCTGCTGCTGTTGGGCCTGTGGCTGTGGTTGCGGCTGCTGCATGAAGCTGGCATCTGGCACCCACATGTTCAATTTGCTCTTGACCTCTGGGGATTTCGAATCGCCAAAGATCTCGTCCAGATTGGATTCAATGTCGTGGGCATCGCTGCTGTTCTTCACATCCAAATGCACCGGCGACTCCCCGAACATGGCCTCCAGGCGCGTCTCCACCGACTTTTGCACATCCGAGTCGCTGCTGAAGAACTCACTGATGGCCGGATGCTGGTTCTGTTCCGCCGCATCCATGGCCACCGGCTGCTGGCGCTGGCCGCTGCACGAGGAGTTGCCAATGCTCGAATTGTGCTTGCTGGGATCGACGCCACTGGCGCTGCCGCTGGGGGCGTTGTTGTCGCTGCCGCAGGTGCTGCTGTTGCTGCTGCTCGTCGAGCTCTGGTTGCTCTTGTCGATACAGCCGTTGGGGAATAGATCCCCCATTTGATTGCTACTGTTGTTCATCATTCCGCTACCATTGGAGGTGTCCAGGAAATGTTGCTGCTGCTGCTGCTGCTGTTGCTGGCGATTGATGGGGCAATGCTGGTGCTGTCTTCCATTCATCTGTGCCTGTGGCGTTGGCTGCTGCTGTTGCGGCAATCCCTCGCTGTTCATCAGATTGAGCTCATTTTGAAGGCAATACCAGCCATCCTCCTGCTCCACATGTTGATCCACGCCATTGCCTTTGATATGTTGCTGCTGCTGCATCGACTGCTGCTGCTGTTGCTGTTGTGGCTGCTGCTGCTCCTGCATTGCTCTCTCGCCCCCATAGGGCATCTGGCTGGCCCTTGCCTTGGCCTCGATCTTCTTCAGAATGAAGCTGGTCTGCAGCTCCGACTCGATATCGAAGTGTCCGTAATCCTTTTTGATATATCTACCGCTCGAATCCTTGCTTTGGTTCTCTCTTTTCACCTCGCCATTGGTTGTGGGTTGCTCCCGCTCCTCCTCCTCCTCCTCCGGCGCCTCTTGCTTCACGGCTGTTGCTGCTGCAGCTTCTGTCTGTGGATGCGACTGCGACTGGGACTTGCTGAAGGCCTTGTTCACATCGGCGCTGTTCTTGAGCAAATCAAACGTGTCCACCACTGCGCCGGCTGCCTTCGATTGGGGCTCCTGTTTGATCTCCTCCTTGATCTGAAGCTGGGATTCTGTGGCCAATCTCTCGCTGCTTAGCTCCTCCTTCAGCTGCTGCTCCAGCTCCTTCTCCGCGGTGCGAATGTCATTGATCTCCCCCTTGAGGTCATCGATCATCAGCTGTTGCATCTGCAGGGACTCCGAGGTGCGATGCGGCAGCTAGAAAGCATCAATAAATATGTTCAATTAAAATTATCAAGTCTCCGCCATCTAGTAAGCCTTACAGTGGACTCCTGCATGAGTATCTCGTGGAACTTTCCGTTCAATTGCCGGAACTTATCCTGGAATCCCAGGGCGGTGGCCTCAAACTCCTCCTCCTCGTCGGAGGGCAGCTCCAAGTCATTCTCGTGCATGCAGTGGTACCTACACAAAGAACAGAGAAACAGAACAGATGTTAGCCTCCAAAGGGAGATAGGGGGGGGGATAGCCTACCTAATCAATCGCTTGACGGCCTCGTCTTTGGTGCGGAAGGGCTTCACATAGTCCGGCTTCAGGCAGCTCTCCTGGTCGACCTCCAGCTGGCGCACGAACCTGCGAAGGGAGGGATTAGAAGGATTAGTCTCTGGTTCGGCCAAAGCACTGGCAGTGCAAAATCCATTTGTCGGCCGTCTTCCCGCTAAGAATCGGCATTGTTTCAACCAACTACTCACAAGGAGAGGCGTGCAATTTTCGGCTTCAGCGGCGGCAGTTCATCCAGTTTTGGTGGCATGAACAGCGGCAGGCTGGGCAGCACGGGTGTCGGCAGGGTGGGCATCAGACTTCCGATTCCTGGCACTCCCATTCCCACTGGTGGCACTGGTGTTGGTGCTGCCACAGTTGGTAGGACAGGCACTGGCGGAGCCGCTGGTTGTGGCTGCTGTTGCGTCTGTTGCTGCTGCACCTGTGGCTGCTGTTGCTGTTGGGGCTGCAGTTGTGGCACCTGCTGCGGCTGCGTCTGTGGCGGCTGCTGCGTCTGCTGCTGGGGCTGCAATGGTGGCATTGGCAGCATGTTTGCCACATGCATCATGTTGCTGCCGCTGTGGTTGCTATTACTGTTGCTGTTGCTACTGTTGCCGCTGTTGTTGTTCTGATTGCTGTTGCTGCTGCTGCTGGCCAACAGATTTGTGGAGCTGGCAAAGATCAGCGGTGGCGGACCACTCTTCAAGAGCGGCGGCTGCTGCTGCTGCTGTTGCTGCTGCTGTGGCAACATGGTGATGGTCTTCTGTGGCAGCATATTGATGGCTCCATTCGGTGGATGCTGCTGCTGCTGCTGTTGTTGTTGAGTGGACGCATTGGCAATCACTTTGTTGCGGATGACAGGAGCCTCCTTGAGCTTCAGCTGTGGCTGCGACTGTTGCTGCTGTTCCTGTTGTGCCAATTGCTGCGGCATGCTGCTGTTCGTGGCGACTGCCTTTTGCTGAGCCTGCGCCTGCTGCTGCTTCTGCTTGTTGACCTGCTGCTGCTGCTGTTGGTGCTGCATCGGATAGATGTGGATGCGCTGGGTAATGTTCTGCGGCTGTGGCTGTGGCTGCTGCACAACCGCCACTGTTCCTCCGGTTCCTCCTCCTGCCACAGCTGTGGTGGTGGCGGTGGATGAGTGATTGTTCGGCTGCACCACATTGGCCGGTATCGAGATGGAGGCCGCCGTCTTCAGGGGCTCTGGGCCGGCCTGCAGCTGCAGCTGCTGCTGCACTGCCTGTGGAATCAAATTGAAGTTCCCGTTGGCTGTCGGCAGCGTTGTGGGCACCTCCTTGCCGGAGGCCAGGATGCGGTGCTGCTCCGCAAAGAGCCGCTGCAGCGTCAGATTGATCTCCGCATCGCTCATCGGCTTGTTGTAGGCGGCTATCGTGGCCGTGTCCATCTCCTGCGAGGGACTCATCGTCGGCAGAAAGGTCTTGTTCTGAAGCTTGAAGGTCAGGAACTGGATCTGCATCTGCACCTGCTTGAAGACCTGCTGCATCTGGGGCGTCAGCTGGATCGTCTGCACTCGGGACACGGTGTTCGGTTGAGGTGGCGGCTGTTTCTGTGTCGTTTGCTGTTGGATCTGTGGCTGTTGTTGCTGCTGCTGCTGCTGCTGCTGTTGGGGTTGCTGTTGCTGTTGCATCTGCAGTTGATTGACCACCGGCGGTGCTGCCGCAGTGGCTCCCTGATTGATAGCCCCCGTGGTGGCCGTCAGGCTGAAGCTCGTCCGTTGCTGCTGCTGCTGTAGGATCGCTGTCGCTGGCTGCGGCTGCTGTTGCTGCATGGGCGCTGTGACGCCCACCAGCTTCGTGCCACTGGTCGTCTGAAACGGCTGGATGCTGGTGCTCATCGTCGTGGTTGTGGTCGTCGTGGTCTGTCCACCGCCGGAGCTGCCGATGACAATCATCTGCTTGCCGCTGGCCACATTCGGCTGCACGATCTGCACGGGATTGTTGTTCGGCTTCTGCGACAGCGGATCCAGCTTCGGCATGGGCTTCACCACCCCCGCGTTCTTGAGGATCGCCAGCTCGGCGGCTGTGGGCGTGGCCTTGGGCTTGCGCACAGGCTTCTTCTTCACCACAGCCCCCGTGCTGCTGGTGGCCGGTCCCCCCGCCTTAGCGGGCTCCAGCTTCGCCTTGCTCTGGTCAATGATAGGCGCCACATTGGCCACCTGTTTCGTCACCGTGGTGGTGGTCGAGGTGGTGCTGGTGGTCGTCGTTAGCGTGGAGCTGGCTGTCGTTGTGATGGCCAGTCCGTTGCTGATCGGCTGGACCGGGTGCACGATCTGCTGCTGCGGCGGCTGCGGCCTCAACGGCAGCGTTGTCCCTGCTCCCGCTGCCGCTGCCTGCTGGGCCGGCATCGGATTCACATCGTTGAAGTGGAGCTGCCCCAGTTGGAGGCACTGCGCCAGCTGCTGGGCATTGATGCCCGCCGGTGCGATCAGCAGCCGCTCTGTGGGTCCAATCGAGGCGGTAGTTTGGCCGGCACTCATGGCCGTGATGTGATTCGTGACGCTGTTCAGGCAGAACAGCTGCTGCGTGGAAGGATCGATCGGTGGCAGGGCAATGTATCGCTGTTGTCCATTGTTGGTGGCGGCTGCGGGTGCTGACGCTGCTGGAGGAGCAGCAGCAGGAGGAGGAGCAACAGGCGACTGTTGGGGCTGTGGCTGTGGCTGTGACTGTGGCTGCTGCTGGATGAGCACTTGACTGTTGAGCGACATCTGGGGAAAGGACAGCACTTCGTGGGTGGCGGTCTTTGGGGCCGCCGCCGGAGGCAATGTCGGTGGTGGTTTCATGGTTATGCTGTTGGGCGGCTTCCGATTGTTGGCCACTGAACGAAAGAACGAATGATTGAATCGCTTTCCTGTCTGCAGCATCGTCTGGCACTCACCTTTGACCTCTATTTTGGGCGCTGCTGCCGCTGATACTTTGATCAAGTGCTGCTGCTGCTGTGGATGCTGCTGCTGCTGCTGCTGCTGTTGTAAATGTATCTGTGGCTGCTGCTGTGCCTGCTGCTTGCTGGACTCCATCGGCATCCTCGCTGGCTCATTGATGATCGTCACATTGGGCAGCGCCCCCTTGAGCAGGGCCTGCAGGATCAGCTGCGACTGATGGTCCTGCGGATTGTTGGGATCATGGCGCAGTATCAGGCGCTCGCACTGCTCCGAAACGGCCAGCGTGAGGCTGCCCGTCAGCTGCGGCACCAGGGCCGCAGCCGAGGCTGGCGATCCCACCGGCAGGCCACCCACATTTAGCTGCGGCGCCATAATGGTGGCTCCCCCCGCGGTCATCACGGCTGTGCCTGTCGTCTGTGAGGCGGCACTGCCTGTGGCTGGGGGCGTGGCTTGCGGTATGGCCACCAGCTGCATCTGCCGCCCGTCGTTGGACATCTTGATGGTTGTGTGCGATTCTGCACTGGCCATCGAAGAGGATCCCTGGAAGACCAACTGCGTGGCATGATGATGATTGGCGGTGGGTTGTGGTTGATGCTGCTGCTGTTGCTGCTGCTGTGGCTGTGGCGTTCCCCCCATCACAGTGGCTCCTGGCGGCATGATGGGCATTATCTGGATCTTGTTCTCCACCACAGCACTGTTCAGAGGAACCCCCGACTGGTGATGGTTCTGCACTTGGGAGATCTGTATGTTCCCGATCTGACTCGGGACGGTCGTTGTGGTGCTGCCGCCCAGGCCATGGGCCAGCATCAGAGTGGAACTGGAGCTCATGGTGCTCATGGTGCTGCTGCTGCTGCTGCTGTGGGCTGGTAGAGGCAGCGACAGCGACACTGGAACGGGTGTCGTTGTGGGTGTCGTCAGGGTGATCGTGTTGATGGTGGTGGACATGCTACTGCTGCTGCCGCCGCTCAGGCTGCTGCTGATCGTTGTGGTGCTGCCGCTCGTCGAGTGGTTGCTGCTGCTCATTGAAATTGAGGCAGGTGCAGCCTCTGACTTCTTGGTGTTCCGCCGCACCGCGGGCTTCCTTCGTGGCTTCACTGCTGCCGTGGCAGAGCCCGAGGAGGTCAGCGTCACGGCAATGGGTGTCCCAGTGGGCGGTTGGGCGGTCGCAGGAGCGTTGGGCGTTGGCTGCAGCGGCAGGCTTATGCTAATGGTGGGCGCTGTTCCCGCAGCTGGTGGTGGTGCTGCTGCTCCTGGCGTGGCTGCTGCTGCTGCTGGGGGGAGGCTAATCTTTGCTGCGGCAGCGGCTGCTGCTGCCTGCTGCGCCAGATGCTGCTGGGCCTGCCTCTGGATCTCCTCGGCCGTCGGCAGCCGCGGCGTGGACAGGGTAAACGGTGTGGAGGTCAGGGCTCCTGCGCCTGCACCTGCACCGGCTGAGGGATCGCTGGGATCAATCTTAATGAGGATATTTGGTATTTCGGTGGATTCGTTTGACGGCAGCGACTGTCCGTGTGGCTGTGGCGCGGGTATCGTCAGCGTAAAGGGCATGCCATCGCTGCCGTTTTGGTTCGGTATAGAGATCATGATATCATTGGAGCCGGGCTGCTGCTGCTGCTGCTGTTGCTGCTGTTGCGGTTCCTGTTGCTGCTGCTGCTGTTCACTGCCCGTGTCCATGCCCACGCCATAGTCCTCGTCATCATCGTCGTCGCCCGTGATGCCGCAGAACTTCATTACGTCCCCGAGGTCCAGTTTCCCGTTGCTGCTCCTCTGGATGTGCGTGGGCGGCGGCGATGGCGACTTGGAGCGCACTGTCGTCTGCGGAGCGGAGGGTGTCGCAGTGGGCGCGGCGGCTATGGCTATCTTCTGCGGAGGAGGATCGGCCGCTGCCGCCGCCGCTGCTGCTGCAACCGCTGCAGCAGCCGCTGCTGCCGCTGCCGTGGGCTTCTTCTTTCGCGGTCGCGGCTTCTTCTTGGGCTCCGCCGGAGCTGGAGTCGAAGCTGCGGCCACAACCACTGTGGCGGTGGCCGTGGTGGCATGCTGCTGCTGGGCCTGCTGCACCTGCGACTGCGTCTGCTGCAGCTGATGCTGCAGCTGCTGGATCTGGGCCTGCTGCTGCTGTTGCTGCTGCTGCTGCAGCTGGATGGTGGCCATGGCCGCCTGCTGCTGGTGCTGCATGACCGGCACGGGGGTGGACTGCCGCAGGGGCTCCGGCGTGACGGCCACCGGGACATGGGCGGGCGAGGATTGGGTGAAGATGTCGCCCTGGCCGACGGGGTTGCTGCCGCCGCTACCGCTGCCATTCGTGGGGCCATTGGATCCCGGTGGCTGGGGCTGCTGGAAGGCGGTGGCTATCTGCTGGATGTGCGCCCCGTTCAGCTGGTTCAGATTGATGGTGGCCCCGCTGAGGCTCTGCTGCAGGTGGGCGGGCAGCTGGGAGATGGCCGTCAGGCCGTTGGGCATCTGGATTTGAGCGGCGGCCGCCAGCTGGAGGTTCTGCAGCTGTTGGGCCACGCTCTGGCCCAGGAGCTGTGTGTTCAGGGTGGCCGTCGTGGCAAACGGCTGAGATCGTGGCGCCTGCGCCTGGGCCTGTGCTTGGGCCTGTGCCTGGGCCAGAGCCGCATGCAGGCCCGACAGCTGGGTCCCCGTCTTGATGGCGCTCTGGAAGTGGCCGCCCGTCGCCGTCTGCTGGATGAGGTTCGCCTGCGAGGACACGATGAAGGTGGGCGCCGCAGCCAGCTGCATGGTGGCGCCATTCGTTCCGACAATGCGCAGCAGCTGCTGCTGGGCCGGCTGCGACAGTTGCGGCTGACCGCGTCCATTCTGCTGGATGACCAGCGAGGGCGCCGCCGTAAGCTGCGGCGTGGGCGGGCGCAGGATCAGCTGCACCCCCTGGGGATTCTGTTGCACCAGGACGGGCATCTGGTTGAGGAGCAGCTGCTGGTGCTGGTTCCCAGCAGCAGGCAAAAGGATCTGCTGCTGCTGCTGTTGGCCGGGATTCGTGGACTGGTGCTGCTGCTGCGGCGACTGTGAGATCTGCCCTCCATTGGAGCCCTTGGCCTTGCCCTGCTGCTGCTGTTGCTGCAGCAGCTCCTGCTGCGGCTTGGGCAGAATCTGCTGCGGCGCCTTCCCGGACTTTGTGGACAGCCCGAGCCCTGCATTGCTGCTCACAAACCGCTGCTGTGGCTGCTGTTGATGGTGCTGCTGCTGATGGTGCTGCTGCTGGTGATGCTGCTGCACCTGCTGCGGCTGTGGCTGCTGCTGCTGCTGGGTGGTGGTGGTGGTGGCTATCAGCTGGCCCTGCGGCCCCTGGATGAACTGGAACACTTGCTGCGTGGCCTGCTGCTGGTGCGGATGCTGCTGGGCGCCGCCGGTGATGGTAAACTGCTGGGGCAGCATCTGCATGGGCTGCGAATGCTGCTGCTGCTGGGGCTGGGGCGTTGGCGGCTTAATGGAGGCCGCCGCGATGGCGTTGCTCGGACTCGGGATGGGGCTGTCCGCTATCAGGGGACTGCTGCTCTGGTAGTGATGGAACTGCTGCTGCTGATGGCTCACCACCGTGGTCTGGGCGGTCTTCTTCGCCTGATTCTTGGACCCGCTGCTGACCACGTTTGCCGTCGCAAACGAAGTGGGCGTACTGCTGATGCTGATGGCCGTGGCATTGAGTTGTTGCCCATAGCCGCCGGCTACTGTCCCTACGCTGCTGATGGAGGTGGGCGCAACGGCCTGGCTGCTGAATATCTGGTGTCCCAGCTGCTGCTGATGCTGGCCGAGACGTTTATTGCCCTTCTGCGAGAGGAAATGCTTTCTTCAGATGATCTTTTCGGGGAAGGGGAAGTGGAAGGGTTCCTACCTTATTCAGCTGGATATTATTGGAGCCCACGAGGGTGGCATTAAGCTCGTTTCCTATGGCATTGCCTGATCCCACTCCTGAGGCGGCGATAAGGCCACCACTCGTCACGCCGATGACCGTCGTGGCAGCGGCCGCCGGTGACTGCGAGGGGCTCGGCTGGAAGACAACGGTTCCAGCATTGGGGCTGCCATTTGCGAACTGATGGATGGACTGTCGCCTGCCAGGCGTCGCCGCCTTGCGCTCCTATTTCAAGATTCGGAAGATACAAGGATTTAGTGGGGGGTTGCTCTTGGATGATTACTCGATCTATCTAGTATTTACGTGGTCCTGGGGATTGCTGTTGGCGTTTACTTGACTGCCACTGGCTACGAGCACCACATCCTGTGGGAACGGCGATAGCGATGGCGATGGCTGCAGACGTGGGCTAGCTGAGATCGATGGCGATGGGCTGGGCGTCAGAAACGGACCCGGAGGAGACAATATTCCTGAAAGAACACACAAACAAAAGAAGCACGCACAAATTAATATTTACTCCACTCCAAAAGTTGACCCAAATAGCGTACAGTGTATGCATACGGGGAATGATGTTATATCTGATTTCAGATCTGCAATTGTTCGGTACGTGACCAAAGTGGCAACGGTACTGCCTACCCCTCCGTTTAAATGGCATTTATAATTGTCCGCCATTTCGCAAAGTTGTGTATTTTACCCTTGCCCAAGGTACATTCCAAAAGGAAGGTAAGGCAGTGCAAAAGTGCAGCCTCTATGCGTTGCATTCCATACGTTTGGGCCGTACCTTTCAATTAATATACCTCGCTCTCTTCTCTCAGGCACTCTAAGTGTCCCCTCTCCATGCCTCCCTCCTCTCTTTTGTTTGATTCCCTTTGTGCAGTGCAGGCATATTTAGCACATTTTCAAACACCAGCTGAGAGCCACTCACACCTCACAGCTCTCTCTCTCTCACACACACACACACACTCGCTCATTCCAGAACCAGTTTCACACGTGTGTGTGTGTGTTCTTCTTTTTTTTTTTTGTGTTTGAAGAGTTCTTTGCACTTCTTCATTTTGGAGTGTTTTTTCACTCATTTCTTTTGTTGTTGCGACCAAGTATTTGGGGCTGCCACAAAATATTAGCCATAGGCTATGCCAATCGTGGCGGCAAGCATTTAATTCAATTTGTGGCAGCGGCGTCGGCAAAACAGCGCTTAAAATAATGCCAAAAACCGTTGCAATGAGCAGTATTTTTGTTTAGGTGAATTTTTAGTATTTTGGATATGTTCCGTGACCTTCCACCATATTGCGCAATAATCTAAGACTTTTTCCCACTAAATGGAATTAAACGGAGCAGCCGCCACCAGCCAAAGAGGAAGCCACAGCAGCGGCAGCGGTAGAAGCAAAAGCAGAAGCAGACAGAGAATGAGTTTCGGTTCTCCTCCAATTTATCCTTTGCTTTGCTCCCAGGAATAATTTGCATATGCCGTCGCACCGCCACAGCTGGAGTCCAGGCAGGAGGAGGAGGAGGATGTGGCAGCAGATGCAGAAGCAAAAGAACCGCAGCAGCACAAAATTGAATATAATACGCAAACAGAAGAGCTCTAACACAGCCCAGAACTCAATTCGAATTCGAGAATACCCTCGTAAAAAGGCCATGAAAATAGTTGAAAGTAAACGGTTAAGAAAATATTTCCTCACTTTATGGAAAGGGTATGGGGCACAAAGAGGAGGATAAACGAACATAAGCATGCATCAAAATCGACATCATCTCGTTTCGTTGCAGAGGATTGGATGGGATTGGACAGGGGGGCTATAGAGAAGCCATCATCCATCGGCGGCATCATTATCGACAGCAAAAACTAAATGCAAAAGAATTTAACAAGCGCCCTTCTCTCTCTCTCACACACACACTGTGTTTTCTGTGTGTGCATCTGCCTACACGACAGCCACTGCGCCACTGCCATTCCCCTCTGCTCCACCAGTCGTTTAATGCATGACTGCCCTCCCGCTGGCAGCCGCCATTCAATCCTCATTCAACCTCGTCTCGAGGAGCAAGAAGAGATTGTGTTCTCTGTGATATATTCCTGGCCTGGCCCTTTGTTTGTTGCCTTGGTAATATGCCAGAGGAGGGAGGATTGAGGATGGCGAATGGGGAAGGAAATCCAAATCAAAAGCAACAGCACAGCAGTGCGAGCGGTGGCACCTTGGAGGAACACTCGCTCGACGCTTGAATGGAGAAGATGGGATGCAGTGACCTAAGGCGTGCGGATAATACCGACATTAACAGTTTCTCCTTGTAGTATATTTCTATTTCAATTACGTAATTAGACAGCAAGCCACACTCTAATTGGGAGCAAGGATCGATTACGATTACCGATTCACTTTTATGGCATGAATCGATATTTAACAGTATTTAAATACCACCATCAACATCAAAGACTCTTTCCAAAATAATTATAGTCTCTATTTATTATTAAATTAAATTAAAAGGAAGCTCTAAAAACTAATTATAGCACACATACACCCCTGTTGCTTTATGGCATCCAATAGTCTCTTAATTATGGTAGACAACTGGCAGCAGCAGAGATGCGCCATCGATATGTTTGACACAAAAAAGGCTCCCTTTTTGTATTCGTCTCTAATTAAACAGTTAGCCAAAGAGTGAAAGGAAGAAAGGGAGTTGGCTACAGCACAGCAAAAGAAGAGACAGACACAAACAGCGTGAAAGGAGGAGGAGGTGAAGGAGAGACGCAACGGCAGACCCAATGGTAATTTCCCACAAAGGCAGACCACAAACGCAACTAGCGCTGCAAGAGCGGAACGACTACCCCTCGTCCCACAACAGAAAAAACCAAAACTAAAGCGCAACTAAAGGATAAATCGACAAACAGATACACTCTTGATGTGCACAGAGATACTCGAAAAACTTTTGGGCCGAGAAGAGCCACAGATGAGCGCACTTTTGGCTGCCTGACATGGATAGACGCCGCCTGAAATGGTTGTGTGTGTGTGTGTGTGTGTGTGGATGGATGCTTGCTGGCTGGAGGCTACAAGGGAATGAGCAAGTGGAGACTGCTTGCTTTTTGGTAGCCATTTGCTTGAGTGTCTGAGTGCCGCCCGCCATTGTAGGAGAGCTCCGCTCCTGCCGGGACAGAGCGGGTGACGCGTAATATTTTGCATTTCATTCCAGTGAGCAGAGGGAGTGTGGAGGGAGTGTCGTCGCGAGATGAATTCTATTTACACACACACACACAAACACCACACTGACAGTTAGTCGAGTGCCTGAGCGAGAGAGAGTGAGAGCAAAAGACTCTGACTCTGTGGGGCCTGTCAAAGTCAGTAAAATTTGAGTGCTGTGCTGGCTAAAAGGAGATGCAGCAGCAGCAGCAAAGGTAAAGAGAGCAAGCAAAAAATGCAAAGTGCAAGCAAAAGTTAGTGTGGCAAAAGTGTGTTTTTTTGTGTCCCTTTTTTTGTTGGGTGGCCACCCACTCACTTACTCTTTCCTGCACTTTTGGCAGGTAATTGGCTTTGATGGAATACTAAATTGTATCCCAGATTTAAAAGTTTTCCAACTAAATACAATCCCCATTGAGTGCATCTGTTTTTGTGTGAATACTCAATGAAACGAAAGCTCAATCATGCGTTAATGAGATCTATCCACATTCATAACCATCCGCACTCTACACTGCTTTGCTGGTCCCTCTCCTTCTCTCTGCTCCAGTAAATCTCATTTCACAGAGAGCACGAAAAAACAGTTTATTTATATGCAAGGTTCGGAGGTTCCCCCCCCCCCTACACATAGGAGGACACTCCAGAGAGGCTCAACATCGTTGCCGTTGGCCACTAAAGGGGAGGGGGAAGCGGGAGCACCGTATGCTCTCGCATATTTTATGCGGCGGCGGCGGCGACGGCAGTGTGTGTGTGTGTGTGTATGCGTGTGCCTGGTTGTGTGTGCGTTTTTGTCTTTGTTGTTTCATTTATTTGGTTGACTGGCAACTCCTTTTCACCTTCTCCCTGCCCACCCAACCCATAATCCCTCCCAGCCACCCGCTTTCGCTCACTCTCCCACTAAGTAGGAGATGCTGCATCGTCGGGTTTTTAATACCCTTTTGGGAGTGGGGTACAATGATATTTCAGAGGATAGATGCAACTCAAATAACATGTCTCTTGATTTCCTTGCTTAAGGATCGCATATCATTGTAGAATACCAGTTAAGGCTTTATTTATTTTTCCATTAAACATATTTCCTAAGGCAAGGGTATATAAACTTCGTTACTTTGGTGAGCTTTTTCTGCATTCCATTTTTATTTTTGTTTTTTGCCTGAAATTTTCATCCTGCGATTGTTGTTGTTGATTCTGTTTCTGGCTGGCTGCTTCTTCACCTTCTCCTCCTCCCTGTCCACCCCTTCCTCTGGATTTTTCTCCTACGTATTCTGTTGTTGTTGTTGTTGCTGTTGTTTCAGCTTCTGCCCCGTTCGTTCTATTGTCACATTTTGTAACAATGGCAGCCGTGCGCGCGAATCGGACTCGAAAAAGGACCCCGAGTAAACGACAGGCCAGAGCCTGGAGCAGGAGCTGGAGCAGGCGTGTAGTAGCAGCATCATCATCATCATCATCATCATCAGACCAATAACAACAAGAAGCAAAGACTAGAATCGAGATTGGAGTGACGAGGTATTTGATACCCTACGGTGGATAAAAATACCCTCGGAGGTACTCCAGTGGAAAAGTGCCGCATTCTTGATCTAGATCTCTCGTGGAAGATCTCTTTATGTTCTATACAAAAATCTGTGTTAGGAGCTTAGATTAATAATCCACTCTAAGAAAAATATCAAAGATACGGGCACATAAAAATACGGTCACATCGACACTCGATCTCTCGAATTTGCGCAGAAGTAGAATAAAGACGAGTTCTTCACTCTCACAAGCCTTAACCGACTTATCATCTATACTTATCCCATCTCTATCGCTATAAGCTTTATGGCCTTCCATATCCAGAATTTGGTGAAACGCATATACCCTCTGTCCAAAAAAAAAAGGGTGCAGCAAAGTAGTTGGTTGGAGGACTACACCGACTTTACTTTGGCGCATGAACTGTTGATGGTGTTATGGCGATATGTCGTCGCAGCATCCAATCTCCTCGCCACCCCCTCCTACAGCGTCTCGCGCGTTTATAAGTAGAAGCATAAAAAAATGTTTGTGCGGAAAAAAAAGCAATAAGCAGAGGCAGGACAGCACAGAACAGAAGAGAAAAGAACTGAACAGGACAGGATAGGACCGAGACCAAGGCATATTCGTACATAGAGGAAGTCGGGAGCGGGAGCAGGAGAGGGAGAGATCTATAGAGGAGGAGGAGGAGGAGCTGGAGGCGGCGGAGGAGGCACTGTGACAGTGACAGTGGCCCGTGAAGAGGGGAGGGGGTGATGGTTGGCGGATAAAAATGAAATAAAAATCGATAGGTAGAGGCACGTTTGAATGGGGAAGCGGGA